CTTCATTGAACATGGATCTAAACTCTTACACGAGTAGGCTTACAAACGCTATGCGTTCAGTTAAACCTGCTCACACTCTACCTCAATCAACTGATGTTTTCGTTCAACCCGAATTACGACATAGTACACACGTCTTCGTTCGTCGAGACTCACATCGACGACCCCTCGAATCAGCATACGAAGGACCCTTCAAAGTTCTCCAACGCGAACCTAAGTACTATGTAGTCGATAAGAACGGTACGAAAGATAGCATGAGTATCGATCGACTCAAAGCAACGTACCTAGAAGGAAACCCTAGCTACGTCGATTTTCCTTCGGTACAAGCAAACGCCACAGCTACTACACTAGTAGTACCCTACACGACAACCGACACACAACTTGATACTTCGTCAACGTCGATAGAAAAACCTAAAACAACGCGTTCTGGAAGACGAGTCAGATTTCCAGAGCATCTTAACGAATATTGCACGTAGGACATAAGCTTTATCTTGAATTACCCTTCCATAGTTCATTATAAAAAAATTTTAATATGATAATTTTTTATTTATATAAAAAAACCAAAAAAAACAAAACATTTTTATTTTTTTATATATAAAAAGACAAAAAAAAAACACTTTTTTCCTGATCGCTTTTACGCTGTTGGTAAGTGTATTAGTTTTTTTCTTCCGCTAATCTTCTGTCCCTACGCAAGTACGAGTGTATTTCCGACATGCACTCACACGTTTTATTTTCTCTCTTTTCCAGGACGGCTGGAATAGAACGACGAAGTTTCGCAAGGAACTGAAATTTTCATTGTACTATATTTATTTATTGCTATGTTGTACATTTTGGTTCCATAGTTTAAGGAAAGACGACCAGACGCTGCTGAACGAAGCAAGCTATCAGAAGAGTGTTTACCAACGACAAACTCGTTGGGTTTAAACTTCTGGCTGGTCACGTCTTAGGGGCATCACTACCTCACTAGGGGAGGGAGTGATCTGTAGCTGTAAATAATTCCCCAAAATCAATAGTTCATTAAGTGTTCGACATTGGATGCTGACCATGTTGTTTAAGTGGACTTGTTTAGCTGAAGGCTTTCGGTCATGCATCCGCACCAGATCACGTTTCAATACGGCGTGGGACACAGCTCCTACGTTTTATTAGCCAGCTCATAGAAAAGGTCCTCGATATATTGGTAACGAATCAAATATATCTTTCCTGCCTCTTCTCGTCTGGCTTCTGATATCTATCTGACTAGGAACGATCAAATATAGAAGGTGCTACTGGTAGCTAGTTGTAAAATTAGAACATCCGTTGCATCATCAACCTAAAAAAAGGCTTCTCATAATATATCCGGACAGTCGGCCAGGCGCGGGTTCTTATATGTTTATAACATTATATCCTTTCCTTCAATAATGCCTGTTACATTTTTATATACTTAACTGGGTAGAATTTCACTGTCCACAAACTGAAGATGTCTAAGAACTTTAGTAACATATGCTCCTACGTTAGTTTTGATAAAATATGCTGGTAAGCAGACCCTTATAATTAGAAGGTATGAAGGTGAGTCCGAGCCTTTCGACTTGTTCTGTATGAACAAATTAGTAGAGTCCTGGACGTCTGTGCGCCACCAAATATGTTATTGCCAACCCTATGAATCATTTGTATTGCTCTACTCCATTTCGAAGGAACTACGTGACCTGCTATGTTTAAGTCCTACATTGCGGTTGACACCCAACTTGACACATAATATCGTGATAACCAGCTGGAACAAACGGCAACTGTGTGGAACAAATAGGATCTCACTGAAATAGCAATAAATTTTAAGAAGAACATACTGTAGTTGTAAATAAATCTCTGTACGTGTTTGACATTGGATACTGACCACATTAGTTTTAGTGGACTCATTTATCTGAAAACGCTCGGTCATGCATCCTTACCAGATCAGGTTTCAGAACGGCGTGGGAAGCATCTCCTACGGTCATTAGCCAGATTAGATCAGTCAATCCTCGATTTGTTGACAAGTCATCAAATATATCTTCAAACCTCCTCGCTTCTGACTTTTGATTTTTCTGAGGGGGGGGGCGCGATTCGATTATAGGTGTTACTAGTGAAGTGTTGTCAAACTACAAAACTGATAGTATCTTCAGTGGTGAGACCGACGTGATCTGGTACACCAAACAAAAAACTGTTAGTCTGTTCCATTTGGAACTTCATAAATCATTACTTTGATTTAAATTTTTTAGATATTGTGAAATATTTCTCATAATTTGGGATATTTTTTCCTTGTTGATTCCTATACTTTGAACTCCCCATGACTGATCAGACTCCCAAGCTCCTTAAGTTTAAAACTCTTGCACCAACCTCATTTCAACTAATGCCTTTTTGGCTGGACAATACCGAAGCCTGGTTCTGTTACTCAGAGGCCGACTTTTACGAGCACGGCATTACGGACTCACGCGTACACTTCCTCGCGGTTGTAAAGGCACTACCGTGCGATTTCAACAGATACGTAACACCTAGTATGTTTACTAGTGATGTTTCGGAACCTTACGATACTCTGAAACGGTCGATTCTAAAACGCGGAGATCCAACCGATCGACAAAGATAAGAACAACTCCTTTATAATATCGACCTTCAACATGGCTCCATGACGGATATGTTGCTAAAGAAGTAGTTGACCAGAGAACTTTCCTCGAAGGCCTATTCAAACAACGTTTCTTGTCTAAAATTCCGCAACAGGTGCAAGCAGTTCTAGTCTCGTTCCAAAACAACGCCGTAGACAATCTGGTTGCATCTGCCGACCGCATACTTGAAATCTCAAAGACCTCTAAAGTAGAGGTATTCTCAGTCCCAGAAAAACCTCAAAAGAGACAGAATGACATTTCGGACCTGTGTCATCACTGATCCGTTTCCTTCGAGTTCGTAGTGACCGTGAACGGTTACATATCCCGCGAAGAAGCACTTCATGTAGGCGATCTGTCTCCAGACCACGAGAGACGGAAACCCTGAATTTATCCGAACCCAAAATCGATCGACACGAAAAATTATTCAGGAAACTTCCCTGCCTGCGCGCGTTAACGGCAACCGTAGCCGAGAACATAGCCGTCTGTTATACGTCACGGATGTGAAAACAAAGTCCGTTACCACGTCGATACTGGCGCAGAAGTTGGCGTTCTTCCTGCCAGTGCTAATGACAGGCTTCACGAGTCTGTTTTAAGCTTACAGGCGGCAAACGGAAAACCGATCGCCACATATGGGAAAAGGTAAGTTTACCTTAACGTGGGTTTACGCAAACCCATCCACTGGATTTTCGTGGTTGCAGATGTTTCTATGCCAATCATTGGTATAGACCTGCTGCAATACCATAATCTACTCATCGACACACGTAAACGAAGGTTAATAGACGGAAACACTAAGTTATCTGTTTGCATAACTCCTCTTTCTAGTTGCAAATTATCCCCAGTCACAATTAAGCACACAATAGACACATTATATCAACCATTACTGGATAGGTACTTTTAGATATATCAAGCACAATCGAAATTGCCGTGTGCAACCAGCAACGTTACACATCACATCACGACTACAGGACCACCTGTTTTCTCGAAAGCACGCCTACTGGCTCCCGAAATGTTGAGGTTGGCTGAAAACGGATTCCACCACAAGATAGACTTAGGAATCATTCGACCATCAAATGGACCCTGGTCATCTCCTTTGCACATGGTCCCTAAAAAAGATAGCAACGATTGGTGTCCAACTAGTGACTTTCGGTGTTTGAATGCAAAAACCATTTCCGATCGTTACCCGTTGCCTCACATTCACGATTTGATAGCTTCCTTGAAAGGTACGACTGTCTTTTCGAAAATCGACTTAGTTAAAGCCCATAACCAGATCTCTTTTGCTACTGACTACATTCCGAAAACCGGTATCATAACTCCCTTTTAACTCTACGAATTTTCGCGAATGTCTTTTGGACTAAGAAATGCTTCCCAGACTTTTCAAAGGTTCACGGATGACGTTTTTCGAGGTCTTAATTTCGTACATGCGTATGTTGATGACTGACTGATAGCAAGTTCGGATGGAGAATCACATCTCCAGCATCTGGATATTGTGTTCGAACGACTTCAAATGCATGGCATTACTGTAAAACAAAACATGTTTAAAGTAGAACCATTGCAGCATTGGTATGCCGATTGTGTGCATCTGAATGATTTATGTTATCTCTAAGTCATTTGAAATTGAGCAAACTATTTTATACTCTGAGCAGTACTGTCTGACCGAGAAATGTTCCCGCCCGAGGTATGATTTGCCTCGGGCTGAGGCACATTTAGCTGGTTCTACAATCCAATGGATTCGGTTACAACGACCTTATCTGTACATCGTCTTTTTGATCAATTTTAGGGGTGATATTTCCAAGATATTTCCGCCTAAGCTTCGCGTATGAGTCATGATATCTTCACACCTTACATCTTAATCCTTATTCGCAGTGTGTGTCATTTACGTTTGGGCGACCTTATACATACACACTGTATACCAAATCCTACTGACTAATAATGACTTGGCCGTTAGCAAATCCATATTCTAGCTCACCTAGTCTTTCATTTTCTTTGAAAATACTAAACAAGTAACCGTGACACAAATTCGAGCCCTCAAGGAGATAATACCAACACAAATCTAAATGATTACACTAAATGTGTAAAATAAGTAGTTACACTAGGAAAGGGTATGAAAAGCTACGCAGGAACATTCGCTGATCTTAATGTTACCTTAATTAGATGAAAGTCACCCGGAGAAAAAGTGAATTAAAGTGCAAACACTAACATGTGTGCCCAATGACTGAGATTCCGCCGCCAAATAAGTTTCGATTCCAGTTTCGTGAAGTTTGCATGTTAACATATATAAGAAAGTTTTATTTGATTTAAAGCCAAATCTTGATAACCAGTACATCAGTTTATTTTAATGGGCTGGGTTAATAGACCGAAATTCAGGTACCTAAGGTCGTCAGCTCTGCGAGCTTTAGTTTTCGCGGTACAGTCAGATTGCGTGTTGGTTCGTACTAACCATCCACTGTATTGTATGTTTAGCTCTTCTATGGAGAATAATGAAACTTTCAAAAATGATTATGATTTATATTGAAAACATACACACTTTTCTGTTTCGTATATGTAGTACGTATTCACTAACACCCTGCATATGAACAATTTGTCCTTAACCTCAAACCTACTCTGGTAATCTTCAACGTATTTCTAAGGTTTAGGATTTTAATTCATATACTAAATGCACACAAGTACTGCCACAACTGAGCATCAATTGATGCTCAGTTGTGCAGTACTTTTTAGTCTAAGCTGAAAATCTGCTACGCAAATAAGTAAGATTGCTAGAAGGAACGAAAATGGGTTAACGAGAGTAGTACATGATAAAGGGGACAGTTAAGCTAAGAATGCAATCAATAATTATTTTAGTCAAAGGAGTTCCTTTCCTTTGCTTTGAGAAAAGTTAAAGAAAACTGGATCTTCCCTTTTAAACAATATTTACAGTGTGTAGAGTAGTATGGCAACTTCTCTTTCTTTTCACATATCACATTTCCCTTCCTTTATTTCCAATTTCCACTTGGTGTTTATTAAACCTTTTGTTTAAGTGAATGAATATATGTGATCGGGATTATCTAAATATATTACCTCTTATATCAGTTTTCAGATCAACTGTCTTTCTTATTGCACCATCGAAATGAAATGGATTATTGAGGAACATTATAATAACATCCTTTATTTGAGTTTCAACTTGATTTTCGCGACATGAGATCATTTTTGATCAATTCTGTTGTGTATCGTATATTTCGACGAAATTTCACTTTATCTAGTGCTTATTTGAATCTCACGTTCACAAGTGCAGATGAGCGGGTTTCTTTAAATTTCACTTTTATAACAAATGTATTATTGGTTTGCTAGCAACCAGATTTCTCTGAAATTGGTTATGATACTGTCATAGTCCTTTTTCTATATATGCGCTTTGATATTGAGTTTTCGGCTGTTGTGGTTGATCCCTCCTCACAGTTAAACCTGACTGCTCTGACGTGTGTTAATTTAGTAAAAAATAAAAGGGGTTGGGTGGTATATGTCAGTTATGAGGATTTGCAATGCTATAAAAGTCCTACCACACCTCAGAAATATCAATCGAAGATGTGGATATGCCGTGCTTCACTGAATAGTTCTGATATTTTAGGACCTGTTGCAAAAGCTAAACTCTCAAGTGCAAGTCATATAGTCGTAAGTGCTCATGTTCTCTATAAATGAAGGTAGTAAAGACGCATTATAAGTGATATTTTATCTACGTATCGTTAATATTGGGTTATCTGTAAGAATGAAACCTTAAAAAGTGTTTATTTTTTAGCCTTTTTGGGATCAAGAACCATAAAGTCTTCACATCATTCAGACTTGCATATCCTTTGTCTGTCGGTCAAACAAAATAACGTAGAATTTGACTAAAATATATTGATACACGTTGCCATACTTCACTAGTAGAGTCATGAATAAGGTACTGCATAATAGAGAAGTTGAGGAAATAGGAAGGTGTTTATGGTGATAAGAAGACTAAACATATAGAAATAAGTAAGTTATAAAACGCCGCGTTAGTTAATGGTGGAACCTTCTTAAAATTCCAGTACCTTGATGTTTTTACTTCGGAGTAATGTCTCGTTCTCACGACTTAGTTAGGGCTGAGACACTGTCTGGGTGCTCGAGTCGAAGCAGGCGATTTTATTAGGGGACCATACCCTAAGCTTTTGGTATATAGGTCTAAAGGTAGTGGAGCAAAGTCAGGAGATGCGGTCTCACGGTAGCCGGTGAGCAACAGTAGGTTCTTACGCCATTTGTTCCCTCAGGATCCTAGAGCCCATGTAACCAATAGCTTGTGATCATGGTTTTCGAACTCCATTAGATGTATCCGTACCCGCCAACCTAGCTAAGGCACTGAAGACTCACTTTTCTTCTTCTTGATTACAAATAATACCATCACCACGAGTAAGCAATGATTAGGACACCCTATGCAGTAGATGTATGCGTGAGGCCATGTGAGAGCATTTTGAGAGGGGCCACAACCGGAGCCTTCGATCTAAAGGCCTAATCCACAAGGCAGTGGAGCAACGTCGGGAGATGAAGTCCCATGGTAGCCGGTGACTGACGATTAGTTCATACGTCATTTGTTACCTCAGGATCCTGGAGCCCATGTTCACCATTGGTTTGAAATCAGGGTTTCCCGACTCCCCTAGATGAACTTTCCGTGTCCACCAATCCGGTTAAAGCGCCGGACATTCGCTTTTCGTCCTCTCAATTTCGTGAACAACAGTAATGCCACGATAAGGCAATAAGTAGGACTTCCTTGACAGAGGCTGTATACGCGTGGCCATTCGAGAGGAAGAGCGGACTCTCCCCACTCTTGGCCGTACCAGGGCATTTGGGGGCATAAACTTTAAAAACGTGTATTCTTTTTCTATTACATCCATTAAATAACCGAGATTGTTGTTTCACAACATAAAGCAGTCGTATTACTTTTCCACTCTATAGGTGCGTTCATGTAAACGTTATTATTGTCCCATAGTTACCTTCATTAAAAGTTCATGAAAGATAAGGGTCTTTCCAAACCTACTTTATACCCTTCATTTCTCTGTCTGTGCTGAACTTATTTTCACACTCTCGCTGCTTTCTAAAAATAGACTTGTATTAAGAAGTTTTATTCGATACTTCTGTTTTATCCACTACTGATAAAAAAATTCAATTTCAGAGTAAAGACACATTGATGGTTTCTTCAGCTACAGAAGAATTGTTTGCGTGGGGTTCGTGCGAAGAAGGACAACTAACTTTAGATAAAAATGATGCTTACCAGATTCTTATCCCAAAAGCATTAGATGTCCGGAATCTACCCACATTGATACAAATCACTTGTGGATACACACATACAGTCTTTCTAACTATTGACGGGGAAGTATACAGCTGTGGGTGCAATGAGTTTCAGCAGTTAGGTCACGGACAATCTGGTGGTCAGTTAGCAAAAGTATGTTCATGTGTATTTTTAAATTTTTTTTATTATTCTTTAATCTATTTGACATTGATGAGTAAATTAAAATGCTTTATAGATTGTGCATAGACTACTTAGCTTTAGGTGAATATGGTTGAAAAACCGCTTTTTTACTGGTTTAAAATTATTATCCATGAAAATGTACGATAAGCAATCCAATCTTCATTTACTAGTTTTCTCCACAAAAGTTTTGTTAATGACGTTTTACTTTTAATTGTCATTTATAAGTTTGACCCAGGTCTGTAAAATCAGAGCAATTTGCTTAACGTAAATCACATATTGCTTTAATGTTAATAGTGGGGGAAAATATCTGTTTAATTCTGAAAGATATATTCCATGAGGCAGTGTAAACGTTGATCCCATATATGTTAATAATTAACATTTTTCAACCTGGTTAATGTAACGTAAAAACCACTTATCTGTTATGAAGGTAGATTAGTCTATCTTGCTTAAAATCGGTTATTCTTACATATCAAAAGTAAGTGATCATTCTCCTTATGTTGTATTTCGATTTTTTCCTCCGTATTCAGGTAGTTGCTTTAGAACACTACAGAATAATAAGTGTAGCTTGTGGAGCATACCATAATGCTGCCATTACCTATAATGGACTTTTATTTACTTGGGGCTGCAACTCCAATGGACAACTTGGTCGTGAAGGAGATGACACAGGAGTTAAGCTAGTTCGAGCACTATCGGATCATAAAGTTGTTCAGGTTGGTTTTTACTTAAATAACTTGTTATTTTTGATCATTGACTACACTCAGCTTAGAATCATGCACAAATATATAGGTTCTAAATGTGAAACCTAACATTAGCACAACGAGTGACCAAATTAACCAAATACCGGGCTGCAAGAGAAAACTGTCTATAAAAAATTTATTTTAGAAGAAAGTTGATGAGATGAAAATATGAACATTTTGGAATGACATGAAACTTAGGATTTATTGGAAAGTAGATCTACACCTTTAGGATCATGTCACTCGACCTTCTCAATCATATATTGTACATGGATAATGAATAAGCTTGAAAGAGAAGACATGAGTATCGACGAATACGTAAACAGTAACATTTTGTATAATAGGATATTCCACTGTAAATTAGGTTTAGTCCAGCTTAAATTGCAACATGAAATAAGAGTCCTGAGCTGTATGGTGACATTCTTCTTGGGATATATATTCAAATAAATTATTCTCCAATAAACCATATCAATCATAACTGTACATCCTAATCAAAAGGTTTATAACTGAAGGATAAATCTGTAATGGTAGAGAAGCTTTCCCGTTAATTGAACTTTATAGATTCTTAGAAAGTATATTCGGTTAATAGTTCATCAATAATGTACAGGCTGGCACAAGTATATATTAAGCATGCCACTTCAACATGATAAGATGAATAGCAAAAGAATAGAAATAATGTAGTAAATATGATAATAAGAAAGACTGAATACTGAGAATAAGGTTCGGAAGGATGAAGTCAGTCAGCCACAACATGAGACCAGGCACATATATGCATCGATCACATTTGCCATACTTCATTAGCACAAGATAGATGAAATGAAAAGGCATATATATATATATATATATATATATATATATATATATATATATAATACCCTATGTCTAACCTCACTATTACTTACCCAGCAGATGCGAGAAGTATTTCTACAACATCCATGGTCGAATTCTAGTAACTTACAAGTATCTTCTACCTTTAATGGTCACGTTTCGCAGCCGTAAAAATTAGAACAGAACAAACTGCTGCACACTATACTCGTCTTTTAACTTAAGTAGTACTAGGGATAAATTACTCCACACACACACACAAATTAAATATACACATAAACTAATTTTCCTGATGTTTCTTATGTAGTACAAGTTTTGGTAATCTACACTCCTCTATAAATATAAATCGATTGGAAATTGTATTCAATTTCAGAAACAAACAAACAATCAAACAAACTAGTAGCATTTAAATGATTTACTCTTTTAGTTTATTGAGTCAATAATTATGAATATTTAGTTGTTAAGTGAATAATTTTAATTAGGTTTTATTATTAAAGAAATTTTTCTTTACTAAATATAATTTGGTATCATTAAATGTTGTCATGAGATTTACATTTAAACATACTAACTATTTCTTTATTCGCCTGGTTTCTTTGTTGTTGTTGTTCTTATTATGATTATAAGTAAGTTAATGTGAGTTAATGAAAATGTAATTCACTTATTCTCTTGTCCTAAAGTATTATCAAATTTGTTCATTTTAGTTACATAATTGGAATACCGTCTGAGTGTCACACCTCGAGTCTTTTATCTATAGGTTTATAGGCATTATAGCAATGTTAGGAGATGCAGTCCAATGGTAACCGATGACCAACAATAGGTTCATGCACTATTTGTTCCCTCAGGATTGTGGAGCCCATATACTCCATAAGTTTGGAATCAGAGTTTTCCAACTCCATTAGATGTATCCTCTGTATCCACTAACCCAGTTAAGGCACCGAACATTCGCTTTTTGTCCACTCAGTTTCGTAAACAACACCCTCACCACGAGAAAGCCGTAAGTAATACTTGGCTGCCAGTAGCTGTATATGTGGGGACATTTGCGAGCATTTTGAATGAAAGAGTGGACCTTCCTTTCGACCGTACCAGGTTATTTTGGGACTTATCACCATTGTAAGCAGATTAAGAAAAATGCAAATAAATAAGAGTTTAAACCATAATGCCTTTCACTATTAAATAGACACTAGCAATTCACAGTACTTACAATCTTCACTTTAAACTTTGTTTGATTGTAACTTAAGATGTTTGGGTCTGTGCATATTATCATGTTTGTGCACTGATTTTCGGTCCTGATCACCTATAAATTTTTTCATCATGCTGATCATAACTCAGATTTGCTAACTAAATAACTACATTAAGGCATTTAGACGACTATGGATGTGAATTCTATTAAAGAAATATTGAACCTTTGAACTGGGGTATGCTCCATGAATGCTAGCTAATTTCTAAAGGCACAGGATTCAAATCATTTAATAATCAACTCGTACTTTGAGGTAGAGGTAATTTATAAATTCATATAGATAAGTTTAATCATTCACAACGTCAGAAGTCAACCAACTAAGACGGTCAATATGAATACAAAGACAAGTTAAGACATCCAATTACAAAAAAAACTTTCATCGGGACAAGCTTATGTTACTCTTATGGAATAACTGAAGCTCACTTCATGTGGTAATTTCTAAAGATGTTATCCAGAACGACAATAAAGACTTCAAAATTAAATCATCTGGCTTGGAGAACACACTGCGAACATTAAATCATCCTCGATAAGTATTCAAAAACAAGGAATATCTGTTTTCAATAAGGTTCTTTTCACAATCTGTGGTTATATAGTTAGTTTACAGAAGTTCAATAGATGATATTTCCTATTGATCTTTCATGTCAATGATACTTTATAATCACCAGATATGAGGTCGAATCCTCTCATCTTTATTTGATTTAAGCAGCTGAGTATTTTTATTAAACTTCACAAATCGTGTTTGAAAACATTATCTGGCGCATATTAATGTACTCAGCTTTTAGCCACTCTTTATGTGTCAGGACTAGTGATACTATTCAGTACGTAGACCTATACTTGGTTAATGGTATGCACTAGGCAACGACAAATGTTTTATTCTTATTTTCCCCATCTTCCTTTTATTCTATTTTTAAACCCGCCACTTTCGTTGCTAATAACTACCGGTCGTCTCTACGTAAAATCAATATTTCAATGTTTCTTTATAGTCAATCTCTTCGTTATTTTGCTATTGCCTGTTATCAATCACACTATTTTATAATATTTCAGAAAATGTAAACACGTATTTTTCTAATTTTTTTTGTAGGTTAGCCTAGGTGTAGAACACACACTTGTCTTAACAGATACTGCTCGTGTATTCGCATTCGGTTCCAATCTTAAAGGCCAATTAGGTCTAGGTTATAGTTCAGAACAATCTATATCAATACCTCAACAAATTCTGTGTCTTTCCGGTTTACCTGTCCGACGTATAGTTGCAGGCGGTTGGCATAGTTTTGTTCTAACTGTCAGTGGTTCACTTTATGCTTGGGGATCTAACAATTATGGCCAACTTGGCTTATCATATTTTGGCTCTTCACCTAATGATCATCAAAATGAATTGACATTAAAGTGTGGTTCCATTGGTAGTACCAGTGTTGATGATGAACAATCGAAAAATCGTCCATTTTCACCACTTGATACAAGTCTAAGTAATGTATCTATTCCAACTTTTGTGAAAACCTTACGGGGTTGTGAAGTTGTTTATTTGGCTTGTGGTGAAACACATACAGTTGCACTTACTCGAGATGGTGGCGTTTTCACCTTCGGTGCTGGGAGGTTTGTGGTTAAACTTTTCATGATCATACCTTCATAGATTGTTATTATAATTATTTTGAAGGATTTGTTGGTAAAATTTTTTTTGAAACGTTGACTAGTGTGTTTCCACCTAAAAATGATTTTTAAAGCTTTTTCCGAATTTTCGCTATCAATAATTGTAAGATGTATTCTGCAGAATACCCAGTTCTTCAAAGACCCAATAGTTGAATCTTTACTAATTTACGTCATTGAAACCACAATCTTTCCTAGCTACATGCATTCGAATTATAAGTTGTAACAAAGCATAATTCTCATGTGACATCATGAAATGAGCTATCTTAGGCATAAGCTTGGAACTTTAGGCAGTATCTAACGTTGGTTTAATCATCAACAACGTAGAATTTGTATAGGTACACACTTCATATTAGCAGAGTAATAGGGGACATAAAAAAAGAAAGCAGTGGAAAGTTAAATATTAGAAATACAGAATGAGAAACATCAAATGAGTTTGAAGAGCAAATAGTGTACGCTAATACTGAAATCAACATTTGTGGGGAAGTAGAGCCTATATGCGACTATAACTGATTCCGGACCATTTCACTTAGTATCTTCAGGCAGTAAGGTCATTAACCGTCAAGATTTGATAATGCTGAAACATATTTTCCGCATACCGTATTTTAGACAACTAAAAACATGCAGTACTTACTAATGTCACAATTAGATAACAATAGTCTGTGACCAAGAAGAAGAAATTTTGACATCAATAAATAAAGTTCTTGAATGTTACTGTCAGTCATTTGTTTAAGTAGAGGCTTAGTAACAGTAACTTATGGTATCAACTATCAACGGTTGAAATTACTAATGTCAACATAGAGGTTTGCGGTGATTATTGAGTCTTATTGACATTTCGAATCGACCTAAGTTAGACTACCAGTGTAAACAAGATAACACTGGGCAACTGTTTCGTTGTGGTGAGACTCTTCAACAGTCTTCAACTACAACCTCGCAGGAGATCGAGCCCAGGACTTTTGGTATTGCACGCCAATGTTTAACCTCCAGATGACTAGCCTGAAATCCAATGTCGCATATGTCTAAATTCAATCATTTCGCGACCATGTATTACTTTAAGTGGGTAACTGCTTCACCCGATACGATCTAACTCCTGTGGTCAAGGTTTATCACTAAAATCTCAGAATTACTTATAAGTTATTGCAGCAATGTCGTGAATTGATCATATTTAGACATGAACACCACTGGATTCCAGTTTGATGATCTTGAAGTTCAGTGTTCGCACACGAAACCAAAGGTCTTGGGTTTGATCCCTGGTGAGACCATGGTGGCGTACTGCTAAGGTGTCTTATACTAGGATGAAGTAGCTGTCCAGTATTTATTAATTCTCAGCGGTGGTCTAACTTCGATCGGATCGTAATGCCAATGAAACCCGTATTGTGTGATTCTAGATTTTTTCGGTCTAACAAGTTTTTACACATAACTATTCCTTGTTCACACGCATATTGTTCATTTCAATTGTCAATCTTTTCGTCGTTTATTGTTGCATTGCTTTATATCTTGACCTGGATGGTACTGTTTACTGTAGCGTTATGCTTATTATTGTTTGTATTTGTCTGCTTGTCTATCTTTTTTAATTCTAATATTCCCTTTATTATTATTTTTTCGTTAATTGATATTTAATCATAAGCACTACCCTTTTAATATAAATTCAACTTAACTAGATACTAACTCCTTATTTACTCTTGTCTACTTGGTAACGTCTCATTTTGAATTCATCAAAAACAAAACATTAGAAAAATGAAATTTTTTTAAAAATCAATCGATAATTTGCAACCTTTTAATATTAAACTATTAGTAAATTTCATCATGATTCTGTACTTTAAATGAATAATATTTATATAGTTGAAATCGTCAGTCGATTGAAGCTAGACCACCATGGAAAACCTGGAAGCACTGGACGGCCGCTTCGTTTTATTGTGGGACTCCACAGTGGCAGTGCGCATCCACGACCTCGCCTCGCGAGCGAGATTCGATCCCAGGACTTACCAGTCTTACGCCAGAGCACTTAACCGATAGACCACTAAGCCAGCATCCGAGGACGAAACGGCCGTCCAGTGCTTCCAGGTTTTCCCTGATGGTCTAGCTTCAATTGACTCACGCTTTCAACTATGAAAATATTAAATCTCCACAAAACCCCTTCTCAGAATAATATTTAAACACTTCGTTGTTTGGAAATTTGTTGTTTTCTCTAATCGAAAAACAAAACAAAACTGGATAATTTAACGTATTTATTTATTTAAACACATATATATTGGTACAAAAGGGCACCAGGTACATAATTTAACGAGGAACTCCTGTCTATTAAATGTTATTATTTAAAATACTGAAATCTCCACAAAAGTCGTCCTGATTATAATCATATGCTCACTAGTGACTTACTTCAAAAGATGTTTTATGGAGTTCTAGTGGGAAGCAGTGACCAGTGAAATTCAATCACGTCTGTTGTGAGATATCAACTCACTGAAGACATTTGGTGAATGGTTGTTCAAACTTCGTAGATTGGTTGAGGTAAGACATTAACACCGTTGGATGCCAGCTCAGTGGTCTATCGGATAAGCGCTCTGGCATGAGACTGGTAGGTCCTAGGTTCGAATCTCGCTAGACGGGATCGTGGATGCACACTGCTGAGGAGTCCCACAATAGAACGAAACGGCTGTCCAGTGGTTCCAGGTTTTCCATGGTGGTCTAGCTTCAATCGACTCATGATTTAAACTATAAAAGAAATTATAGGTATCATTACCAAGTCTTGATTTGATAATTTTGAATAAATTGAGCATTGGGTAGATTGTTATAAATAAATAATATATTTGTAATATCCCAATGAGTAGAAAAATTAGATTTTCTGACGTTTCGTGACTCAGTGTAAGCCACTTCTTCAGAGAATAAATCATTTATTCTCTGAAGAAGTGGCTTACACTGAGTCACGAAACGTCAGAAAATCTAATTTTTCTACTCATTGGGATATTACAAATATATTATTTATTTATAAAAGAAATTGTTAATAATGAATGCTGGGATGAACTCATGAATAAAATAGAAAATTTCGTTAGCTGAATCACATTTAATTAGAGTATTATCTTATTTGTGTGTACACATCCACAAAAGATGCATTAATTTGAAGATGGTATTCGTTATCAGCTGACATCGGGGTACCATTAAAATGCTGAGAAAAGGTACCTATCAAATCCAAGACCAATGGAGTTCGCGAATACCATGACTGAGGTTAATCTGTGATGAGTACCATCTACAGGTTAGATTCAATCTTCTCAAAACTTCTTTATCATAAATATTGTAATTATCTTTCTCTTTTAAAATTAAATTCTACAAATGTGACTATATTCTTTATTATGGAACTAAATTTTATTGCTTTTCGAACAGATTTGATATGAACAGATTATAAAGAGTATTACATGTTACTGGTATTTATTGATATTAATAATAACATGATCTGAATATGTAATTCACAGTCAGTACGACGTAATATGATATCTTTTAGTTAAAACTAGATACGTAGTGATTATTCACTAATCACGTAACATTTTCAACTACCTAATTTGTAGACAGTTAAATCATGAACTTACTTTAGGTAAATATCTACTGGAAACCGGCTGTCTTTCCTTAGTACTGGACTCCTCAATATTTCTCACCCCACAAACCCTTCAGGGTTTAAATCGATACCGTCATGCTGCACAACGAGTGTATTATTATTGAACTCTGGCACCTAATAGTTCATATTCCCGACTTCAGTCAATTCGCGATCATTACGCACTGCCATCGTACATCATTCTGTGTACTGGTAAGTTCAGAGTTATAATTATCTGGAGTATTCATGCCCTGGTACGGCCGAGAGTGGGGAGAGTCACCTCTCCCTCTCGAAATACTCTCATATGGCCAGCGAATATAAAGCCTCTGCCAGGGAAGTCCTACTCACTGCCTTCTCGTGACGGGGGTGTTGTGTACGAAAGTGAGAGGACGAAAAGCGAATGTCCGGCGCTTTAACCAGGTTGTTGGACACAATGAGTCCACCTAGAGGAGTTGGAAAACCTTGATTCCAAATCAGTGGTGCACATGGGCTCCAGTATCCTGAGGGAACAAATGGCGTACGAATCAACCGTTGATCATCGGCTACCATGGGACTGCATCTCCTCACGATGCTCCACTGCCTTGTGGATCAGACATTCAGGTCAAAGGCTCCGGGTGTGGCTCCCTAAGAAAACCACCTGCTTCAGTCTGGGCACCTGGGCAGTATCACAGCCCTCACACAAATCGAATGAAATTTGTGAGGCGCATATTTATCTGATGCTTCCTTGTACCAATATTTATGTGTTTAAATAAATAAAATAAATAAATTCATGTTGTAATCGATGTCATGTACAAGTATTCAAGATAAGTTACTACATTATGTTATAGTTCGATCAACTTCAAATGAGTAAAACAGCCGACAAATACGTCTGATTGATGTACTCTACAAGTCGGTGTCTTTGCTTCCTAAACACTAAACTTTTTAAGAATTATTTTTACCTAGTTCTTTTTCTGTTCTACATACCTCTTTTGCAATTCCTTGTTCTAATGTCATTCGGTGTTTTTACTTTTATTTTTCAGATATGGTCAATTAGGTCATAATGAATCAACTATCGGTATATCTGTACCACGTAAAATTACTGAATTTATGGGTAATGTTGTCACTCAAATAGCTTGTGGTCGATTTCATACATTGGCGTTAGTTCCCAAGACTGGTCGATTATTTGCATTTGGTCAGGGCACCAATGCACAACTTGGTATGGGTGACACAAAAAATCGTTTATTACCATGTCCAGTTAAAGGTAATTATCACTTCATAATACTTTATGTATGCTTTTATGACTATTTCTCTGTGAATTCGCTGTGATAGGAAGAGAGAAGAAGGATAAAAGAGCATATGTTGAATTAGTTTCTAACAGTTCTGAAAGCGATGTTTGTAGTTTGTTGAATGAACTAATAATTGGTAGCATGCAGTCATATAATGTCATTTAGTGACAACTGCTTACGAAACTGAATTATTACTAACGTAACACTCCACATCTCTCTCTTCGATTGAATAAATACAAAAATATGGAATAACTGCTCATAAGAAGAACTTTCCTCTTCTAACAAAATAATACACTTATATACAAAAATTGAACACAAGGATAAACGTGATTAAAAATCATTTAACAATCAAATGATTAATAGATACGGGTACTATAGGTCATTCACTCTTTAATTGGATTCATGCCTAGCAATCGGGTTTCGTTATTACCAGAGTGAATGATTGTATTGATTCCACGTGCATTATTTCTTTTTTCGTTCTATCTCTCCTCAAGGACGCTGGGTTTCATCCCATAAATCCAGTAGTAATGAATCTACTGTTATTACCGATTCTTCTTCCAGTAAACCTTATATAATTCGTCGAATATTCTCCGGTGGTGATCATACTTATTTGTTAGCCCAAATGTATCAAGTAAGCAGTGTGTGTGTAAGTTTTTTCCTTCCATTCGTTTTTTATTTCACAGTGATTCCATTCAATGTTTTTACTTTGATCCCTTATTCCTGTGAAATGTCAAAGAATTGTTTAATTTTTTACGTTGTAGTACAGTGCTGAGTAGTTTAGGAGTAAGTTGGAGGAAATTTTTTGGCGGATAAAGCAAGACGTGGTGTCAGCCTATAAAGCTACTTACTATTATTCCGATCTATTTTGACAAACGCAGTCTGTCTTGTTTGGGTCTGTGCTATTACGATAATCATGAATACTAGGAAGAGTGTAGATGAATTAATCAAAAATCGGTTACAGTGGCAAATGTGTATTCATTCTTTGCGTTTTTCAATATTATTGCTAGTTTTTGTTTCTTCAAGTTTATTCCTTCTATTCTAACCACATTCTTTATGGTATCATTGACATTATCATCATTCTAGATACTTTGCTATTCATCTTATACTTCCATTAATATGTTGTGGCAACTTGGGTCGATGAACTTTCATGTCAAACTCTCTACATTAACTATGACTGACTTGAGTTTAACTAATACTTTATTCAAGCTCCTAATGGAAAAACATTTCTGCTCCTTTCTTTATCTGACTGTGCCAATATTATTTATTCCTGACAATAAATGAATAAATGATGCTTAGAGTGGTTGTAGTGTAATTTTTCTTTAATAGTAAATCAATTCATCATCAACCGAAGTGGTCTTGTTACGTATTGTTGACGTATCACCAGCCATCCACTTGCAATGTTAAATAAACTTATAGCGAACTGGAACAAAACTAACAGCGGTAAGCTTCCAAATGCCCTGGTACGGTTGAGGGTGGAGAGAGTCCACTCTCCTTCTCGAAATGCCTTCCCTATCCACTAACCCCATTGAAGCGTCATTCTCTTTTCGTCCTCTCAGTTTCGTAAACAACACCCGCACCGCGAGAAGGCGGTGAGTAGGACTTCTTTGACAGTGGCTATATACTCCTGTTCATGTGAGAACATTTCGAGAATGAGAGCTGACTCTTCTCACTCTCGGCCGTACCGGGGTATTTGGGGGAATAGTGTGAAATCATTCTGAATATTCTAAGGACATACGCGCACACATGGGCATCGAACAAAATGAAAATGGATGAATTTAGAAAAGGATCCTTTTACATCGCTGATTCTTCTTCAGCTGCATACTTTTAGTGGGAAATAAACCGGAATAAGGCACGTTTTGTGCATGATCGAGATGGTGCACACTGTTTGGCTAATTCTAAGTCAATCAGCTCTGGCGGATTATTGGAGAAGCATCTACAAGCTTCTTATGCATGTACTATAAATATATGAACGTTTTCCTAACGATTGATTGCTGTTCATCTACCCTTGTTATTTTGAATACAATTTCGTTCCTGTTCAATGTGTTCTAATTTTCGGGGTCTTGTCGAGTGTCATTGTATAAGAATAGTAAGCAATAGGAGTAGCTGGGTCGTTTATTGGGAATACAATTAAAACACATACCATCAAAATAAAATTATTGATTTAAACTATATCTTTAAGTAGATACACTTTGATCATTAGTAATCTACACCGTTTTACTTGCTTGAGACACGCTTTTTAGGCTAAACACAAAGACGGATATCTCGCCTTCGACATAGGTAACATAAGTTGACAAAAGCCAAACGAGCTTTCTGTATCCGTGCTGAGATTTCATCTGACACCAACCCATTAGGGCTGATCAGACTCCCAAGATAAGTAAAGTTGTTGACGCGTTCGACTACTTCACTCCCTATCCTTAGTTCAGGTGTTGACGCAGGCCAGTCCCAGAGCAACAATTTGCATTTAGAGGGGAAGAAAAGCATCCCAAACATTCTACCATTATTGCTCAGTGCTATGAAGAGGCGCTGTATTTATCAGCTTCTTCAACCAGGACTATATCATCTGCGTATTTTAAGTCAATAAGTGAACCTCCTGGCCCAACTTCCAAATTTTAGCTAAAATATTGTTCAGCCTGGTCGCTTAAGTTGGACCACCATACTTAAAGACCTGCCCACCCCGTGAAAGAGTTCTCGAGGTACCTGAAAAGGAAATTGGATTAAAGATGGTCCTGAGAGCGTGACCACAGTGTCCAAGGGACAAGTACTTGAGGTCGGTCACACACGATCTTTACTTGAGTAGTTTTCGTGTTAGTTCCGTACTTGTCGAGAAATTGATATCCGTGGGATAAGGCGAGGTGTGCATTTTTAGGGTCGATCTTTTCTAACCCTACCCTCCCTTGTGAGAAGGCAGCATCGCTGTTATGCTGGTTGTCTGAAGGAAACACCTTACTGCCGTCACACCTCTGTACAGTCAGAAGTACGACTTCGCCTTTGGACCTTGGCTTTGCTGCTTTTAGTCTAACTGCTCTTCAACCGACCTGTCTGGCATGATAGGACCTTGAGGAACGATTGTTCCAGCCAGTGTAGCTCGATTGGTTCGTCACGATAGGCAAGCCCGACCACCACGTCAAGGTAGCAGCAACAGTCAGTCTCCAGAATTTCGAGGTAACAAATGGTGTATGAAACTATTGTTGGTCACTGGCTACCATGCGAGTGCATCTCCTGACGTTGCTTCACTGTCTTTAGACCTATAGATAAAAGGCTCAAGGTGTGTGCTTTATTTTGGACACTCAGGGATTATTCAACCTCTCACACAAATTGAATGATAAAGCGTGGTGCATACATATTTGATACCTTCTTGTACCAATGTTTGTGTGTTTGAATAAATAAATAATAAAATTCCATATTGAAAATGATATATAAATTTATAGTGTTTTATATATACTAATTCCTGTTACTTTGACAAACAGCCTGTTATTAAATAATCTCATGTCTTTTTTTCAGGCTGGTGAAACAGTGGATCCTGATGATTTACGCAATTGGAATCGTTCATCATTACAATCCATTCTTACTATTTGTCCTGAGATTGTAGAACAACTTCGAAACGCTCATACTGCCCTAGCACTTCCACCTCCAATTTCTCGATCTATATCACTTTCTTCATCTCGTCCATTAACATCATCACTCAGTTCTACATCAAATGAACCAATGGCAATTGTTTCAAAGGTTGAATCTGTATTTTCCTCTTTAGGTTGTTTATCAGCAAGTTGTCTTGAAGAAAAGTAAGCATTTTAAATTATAATAAGTTTAAAAATATCAGATAGAGATTTTAATCACTGTAGAGTAATAATGACATCGAACTGAATTGTGCTCTATCCTCTTAATTTTCTGATAATCTCAAAGCTTTTCTTACATGATCAGGACTGTGGAGACTACTAACAGGCAAACCTTCTGTTCAGTTTTTCTGCCCTAGTTCCTATCGTGTTTTGAAATTCTCTGTGAATAGACTATCACAGGCTGCTCCACTGTTTACTTACCAATCTCCTCACTTTTGCGAAGCACGTTTTATTGGTTTTGAATTCATAATCTTTTAAAACTCATCTGTGAGTATTACTTTGCCCGACTGTGTTGTATCCCCTGGCGAATTATGAATCATAAATCTGAGGTCCATTTATGGACAAATGTAATACGCCTATTCCTGTTGGATAGTTGTTAAATAAGTGACTTAAATCTGAGGTCTATTTATGGACAAATACAATATGCCCATTCCCTATTGGATAGTTGTTAAATAAGTGACCTAATCGTTTCCGTGTTCCTCTTATCATAACCTTTATTTTGACCTTGGAACTATTATTATTGATTACTTTCCCCCTAGCTACAGCCACATTGGCCAATTACTGTACAAATGTTATTTTTCTATTTTTGATATATGTGGTCTGTTTGGTTAGTATATATAACCCAGTATGCTTGTAAATAATGATTCATATTGCCGAGGCTGTTATTTGTGTTCTGGACTCAACTGGCTGGGCTAGGCAGATAGCAGGGTCGATACGCAATCAAGACTGCTCGTACAATTTCAAGTATCATTTGCCTCCGATCAATAAATTCATTCCTCTCCAATTGCACGTCCATATTATTACGATTTCATACGTCATAACAGACTGTATCAAAGGAACATAAACTAATAGATGCCTTGATTTCTGAACACCATCAAATCTGGTCACATTAGCTCCAATAGAATTATTTTTTAAAATTTCAAGCAAGCTTAAAGACACTACCTCTAAGGGAGAGGGGGTTACATACTTGTACACAGCTGAGGTGTTTCACAATGCATGGATTCAAACCTCAACGTTTTTCGAAGACAATTCACCATGACTCTAACCATACTTTAGTTTAACCAAACTTTTTTATAGCCTTATGTTGTTTTCCTCAGAATCATTAAGTGACGCGTCGTCCTACTGGATATTATTTATCAATTAACATTTTTTCCTCTAACCTGACAGTCGAAAATTCGTTCATCATATCAAAAACCCGAATCCCTAACATCAAATAAACGAAATTGCCTTTCAGAATTTTTATCCCCTAAACTATTTTTACCTTACTGTTTTGTCATCACCTCGATTATTAAGTAAATTGAATTTACATCTATCATTTACAGTCGGAATCCTTCAAACTCTATTTGATATTACCTCCTTGTTTATATTGTAGTCTACTTTATTAGTAATATAAAATATATTTAAATTTCTGTCCTGTTTATTTTCTTATATTTTTACTTCTTGCTTCTTCAAGGGAGCCAAACAGTCATTTTAAAACAGATCGAGAGGAACATGGTGTAGATTTAGACTTAGCTTGTAAACTGCAGTCACAAATTTTTCATATTCTTCCGAAAAGAGATTTAAAACGCTTGATTAACAAACTGTTGGATAATGTGTTGTCAACATCACGTCTTAACTATCCTAGTATTGAATGTCTCCGAGGTCTAATGTTTCTCTCTGTATCTGATTTACTAAATATGCCTCGAAAACCAATTATGGACGAAGCAGTCTCTGACGTGAACAACATAGATATCACATCAGAAAAGAATACAAATTTTGAACCGTATCCTGTTCTGAGCGCAGGATTTTCTACTCCTGGTTTGGTGTTGAATGCTTATTCAGTTGCTATCAATAGACTTGATCCAGCACCTTCAAAAATATTAGGTAATCCAGTGTGTCTTTATTGACATTTTAGACGTATCCATGTGAATCGTTTCTATTTACTTGATAAGGCCATTAACCATTGAAGGACTTTTTTCAAAAAAAAATTATTCATCGATTACTATGTAACTATGTTCACTTCAGTCATTAATTATTTCAACCAGATATTTTACTAGCGTGCATACTTTTCTGTTGTAACCTATTTCTTGAATACAAGGAGGCAGGTTAATTGTCACCGATGCCTTTCCAAGCCAGGAGGTTGATTAGTCAGAGATCAATATCTATTTAAAGGATGTATGTTTTAATGCAGGTAAACCAGTAGATAGGATTTGAAAATCCTTGGTTACTGTGATAAACGTACTGTGTAAAGTCCTATCAGGTAGGTAAATCGTTTGGACCCCTGAGTCTTGGCACTCGGGCGTTGCCCCAGGGTCAAGTATAGTCTACATCCGTACCTGGAACACTTAAGTTATCACCCATACATCCCTTGGCATACACATCGATATACTGACTTTGTGAGTAAATACACGTTAGATGCACACTGGTAACGCACGAGTTTTCACTCATGTATCCCATAGCATACATATAGAGGTATATTAACCCGCCTGGGAAGGTAAATAGTCAATTTTCTTGACATTGTATAACTTGAAATAACGTGCCACTCAGTCATTTTAATTCAATTTGGCAGTTCTAACTGTATAGCGTGCATCAAAAATGATTTATGCATTTGATCGTAGATATCTTTGCAGTACATTTCGCCTTTGTTTGAACTATTCAGGAAGAAATATAATTGAAACCTCATTTTTCGCTATAAAATATATCATAAGATGAAATTATGGAGATCTCGTTGTTGGTAATATGCTACTTACTGGAATGTTTTAAGCGGGTCGTCGCAAACTAAAACGTTTTGTTTTGTGCAAAAAAGCAATATTATTATCCACTGTATCAGTCTAACTTCTTGTGAAGTAATACATAGGTGACTTGAATTCATTGTTTCATTTATTCACATGTGCAACCTCTTGCAAAGATTAACTTAATCGGATTAGTTAGTTGTCTTCGTTCGTAAAACGAATATTTCAGTTAGTCATTCAAACGAGATGTAGAACCTGGTATGTATGCACATCAGCTCAATTTGTCACATTCCATTAATCTGGCGAAATGAAATTTTCAAGATAAATCCTAGAATGGTATTAGTAGTAATGACAGTAATAATGTCAAGAGAGAAGATTAAGCATCAAAGATACGACTGAAGAAAATATAAATTAGTAAAACAAAAAACAGTTCTAAAGACCAGCTCCACTACAGACAATTTCGAATCATCTTATGCAAGGTCTCTAACCACTGGTTACAATGATGAACCCAATCAGGCTATCTACACCTATTAGCATGGCTTATTGTAATTGTCAATGACTTTATTGATTGATACTATGTTTTAGTCTGGCTGTCTGTTATGACTTTTGTCCTGTTAATTTTCACGTGGTAAAATCGCCAATCCGGATACCGATTTATATGATTTAAAACAGTCGAAAAAATGTTCTCTTCGAATTATTGATTAGTATATACATATGTTAATATTAGAGAGATAGATTCTTGTCAGTGATATTTTACATGCCATCGTGTTCTATAATAGCCAGCAAATATTTCTCGCATATCCTTTACTTACAGATCGATGGTTTACGAAAATGCAACCGCGTTATCTGAAAAAATTAGTTCTGGTATGTCTTTTCTCCATTAAATCATGTATTTGTTTAAATGAACAGTTGTCGAAGTTGATATAGTATTTTTTTCTAGAAAAAACGAGGTTTATGTATAAGTATGATAAAATGTTGAAACGTAGAATAAACGCTATGAATTAATAAAGCTTTGGATCGTGAAGCGGCAATGAGATCTGTTACGCTGCCAAATCAAAACAAAAAGGAAATCACTCCCTTCAAGCACATGAAATTCCATGACGCATTATCAATCACAAAACCAAGATGTGATTACATCAGAACACACAAAACCTCAAAAAATAGTGTGAACCAAAATATCGAATAAATACAGGAGAAGAATTGCTGTTTTAATTCTTAAAGTAAGGCATAAGTAAATACAATAAAGGGATTTTTTACATTAAGGTATATCATTCGTTAAAATGTACTTGTCACAAAACGTTTGACTTTTGTCTTTAACTACTTATTACGAATAAGTAGTAAGCCGATTTGCTTACAAAGAGTACAAGCTAAGGGTGAAGACTGAAAAATATTTTACAGATGTAATAATAGTTTTTAACCTTCTGATATCTGTTTTGTTTACTCGTACTTTGGCTAATTTTGTCTCAATTTTTTTGAACTAACATATTCTATGCTGATGTCTTTTGTTTTTATTTCATATAACTAAATGTTTGTCCATTGCTATGAATATTTAATCTAATTCAGAAAAATCCTAATCAGTAGATTTGAAGTAATGTTGATTTCCGAGTATATAATGTGTTGACTTTACAAAATAAACCCTAAAAACCAAAGTTTACGTCACTTGTTTTTAGATGAAAATATCTTTCAATCTATGTACTGGTGTTTACCGTCATCCTTCTGTTTTCTTTTATATTATAAACAAATTAATATCTTTATAGTTGAGATCATTAGTCAATTGAAGCTAAACCACCATGAAAAACTTGGGAGCACTGAACGGCCGTCTCATCCTGTTGTGAGACTCCTCAGCAGTGCGCATCCACGATCCCGCCTCGCGAGGACCTACCAGTCTCGCGCGCGAGCACTTAACCTGTAGACCACTGAGCCGGTATCCAACAGTGTTAATGTCTAACTTCAAACGAGCCACGAAATTGAAAAACACATCCACCATTGTTTTCAGTGAGTTACTATCTCATAACAGACTTCGTTGAACACCACTGGTCACTGCTTCTTACTAGAACTCCAGAAATTATCTCTTGAATCCAATTACTAGTGAGCATATGTTGATTAATATCAGAAGGGTTTTTTGTAAATATTATAGTAATTTTAGTAGTTGAGATCATGAACCGATTGAAGCTAGACCACCATGAAAATCGGCTGTCTAGGTTTTCCATGGTGATCTAGTTTCAATTGACTCATGATCTCAACTACTAAAATGTAAAAGGATTGGAGCATGTAAATGAAATAAACATATAAGAGTACTGTATTTAAAAAGACACAATTCATAGAGTAGTTTGTTGAAATATTCCTCACAAAGATGTTAAGAATTTCGAGCATCTATTACAAATCAATATTTGTCAGGTTCACAAATGAATGATCTAGGAAAAAGCCATTTTAATCGTGTTACACATTACTTATTATAATCTATAACAATATAAATGTAAACAAAGCTGAGAACATAAACGAATTGTAAATGAATGTACATTTGCTTGTCTTTTTTTTTAATCTGTTCACTTAGACTATTATTACTATTTTACAGTAGATAAATTCATATATATCTTTCTTAATATTGTTTTTCACTACATATTTATGCATCACAGTTATATTTGAGACTCAAACCCACTTATATTGAATAGTATTCACTATATAAAGCATTGATTCAATAGACTTGGTTTCATTTACTAATATGTTAACTTTTCAAAACATTTGCTATTTGAAGACAATAACTAGCTCAAATGATAACAGGTTATTGTATTTTGTTTATATCTTATGTAAGCTAGTATAATCATAGTTTGTTTTACACCATATCATGAATTTAATCTATGATTGATAAAGAATTTCATCATTATACAAAGTTTATAAACCACTTATTAAGGATATATAGATCAACTTATTATTGATATTCTTATAATTTATAGAATTTGAATAATTTAATTTCATATATATTGGACATGGAACCAGCTTCAGCGTATAGTCAGGTAAGTTGGTTAACTACTGACATACTGATATTTAGATTATTGTATTATAATGTTTAGTTATTTGTTTGTGTTGAGATCATTAAGTAGTGCTATGGTTAAACATGGAGTATTAGGTAAAAATGAAAAATCGATTGATGAAGTAATGAATTTTTAACTATCGAGGTAGTTAGGAAATGTATTACTTATATCCAACCAGAGCGATGCCAAAACATTAAATCAGTCCATATTGTTATTGACTTAATCATATTAGTAAATGTAGACTACTTGATTAGAGTTCATGTAATTATCGTAACGAGTAAATGTTTATTTATTTATTTAAACATATAAATATTGGTACAAAGAGGCACCAGATACACATGCACCACACAAATCTCATTTGATTTGTGTGAGGGCAGGGTTTTCCAACTCCCCTAGGTAAACTCACCGTGTCCATCAACCCGGTTAAAGCGCCGGACATTCGCTTTTCGTCCTCTGAATTCCGTAAACAACACCCTCGCCACGAGAAGGCAGTGAGTAGGACTTCCCTGGCACAGGCTGTATACGCATGGCCGTATGAGAGCATTTTGAGAAGGATAGCGGACTCTCCCCACTCTCAGCCATGCCAGGGCATTTGGAGACCGAGTAAATGTAGATCACAATCAAGTGAATAACTTATGCACACTTCATTAGATCTTCAGTTTTGAAATAATTCTATTTTCTGTTTTATTCCACAAATTCATCTTTTGTTCTCAATTTGTACTGTCTATCCCTAATATCTTTTTAATATCAACGAAACTGTTACTTTTTTCACTACTCTGCCTATCCTTTCAATTATTTATTCTTGATATCCTGTTATGTTATACGAATTTGTAACGAAGTACATAACTGCTTAATAGATTTACTCGAATTTTGACGTTTAACATTTTGATAAGTTGTTTACGTGAACTCTTAGTTCCCAAGAACTTTTTGCACTGGAATGCCGAACGAAAAAACAATATCGGGTAATATGAAAGAACTTTCATCTCCCAACTTATTCAGTATACAGCAAATAAGGATATTTGTAGTATTCTATATGATTTTAGGATTATAGAAATGTTATATCTGAAGCTTTACGAATTCACTAGTTAGCGAACTGAACAAAGACTTGTAATCAGAGATCGATAAGCTATTCTGATGCAACCCAGACCCAGCTAAATAGAGTAAGAAGTCCAAGTAGGAAGCGGGGAAAATGTATTACGTAGCAGCCAGAAGCACAGATATTTTACAAGTGCGAAATTCGACTCAAGTAGAAAAGAGCGCTTTTGGCGCGAAAACAATGAAATTCAAAGTTTCAAAATAAAATTACAAAATTAAGCCATTTACCAAGTAAGTTCTAGGGATTCGAAATCCCCAACAAGAAACTTCTGAAAAACAGACTAAAGTCACTAATAAAAAATGTACAAATAATTAATCATAACACGATCAATTATCTTCTAGAATTTTTTGAAGGTTTCCTAAAACGTTCTGCTTGTTCGAGGTATCTTGAGCACTTTCTCAAGTCCTAATTATGCCTTCGAGGAAGTATCGGAAGCTCCTAAACTACTTCATGATTGATATCTAGTCATGGTTATGTGTTACGATGATATGTTTAACATGGAAAAAATATCCTCAAGCAATCAACCTCCATTGTTCAACTTTTTTTTAGTTCCGTAAAATTTATATTTAATTATTTTAATCTGATCGAATTGATAATGAGAGAATTACATGTGGTTTTGTTTCTTTACTTTTATAGCGTAAATTAAAAGAAGAAAGTATCCGTCAAGCATTGGAATTTATGAAACGCTTACATCGAGTAAATATTTGTCTAGTGTATTTATTATATTTGTGATCATATCTCGGTAGTTTTTTTTGGATAAAAGTGTACATTCATTGTGTTTTTGATGATCGGTTCATTTTTTCATTCGGATATCGTTTTAAATATACTTACTTACTTACTTACTTACTCCTGTTACTCCTCATGGAGAGGTATAGGCCGCTCATCAGCAGTTTTAAAAAGTTGTTTGCATATCAATCATTTCATGTTATTTTCATTTATAAACCAAAATACTCTATGTGTATTCTTTGAAAATTATATTTAGGTTAATGAAAATCATCCCAATCCAATCTCTTATAATACTTTTTATCTTACATCGTTGAAAGATAAAATTAATGTAGGAAGTGCATTCGTAAATTGGTTACAAGAATGTAATTCCGGTGGAATGGTAAGTAAATGAAATTCGAATTTAAATTGCAATAACGTCATATTGTTATTTAAGTTGTATGTAAATACACAGGTAGCTTAGTTAGGCATAATACTCGACTCGCATGATTCTGATAAATCAGAACTCAAGTAATTATTTTAATAGAGAGAACTAGGTATTCATGCAATCGGGAGACTAATAATTGTGTTTGTTATATTGTGAACTAACTTTAGGTAGATGACCGCTTAATCAAGTGGAAATCAGCAGCTTTTTTCGTATGCTAACCTCTCATTAGTGCAGTCGTACAAGTTCCCTATGGATGTAAACTAAGAAATTGATGTCTTTCAGTAAGCATATGGTTGGAAGTTAAGTGTATTAATTGATCAACATAAATCTTCCTGCACTTATATTGTCGATTATGTTAAAGATAAGAAACTACTTTATTGTTAAGACCTTAAAATTTGGGGTATTGTCTCAATGTATGGTCAAACTACTGAATATTGAATACCTCGAACAGCGAAGAATTAATTGTTTAGAATGTGCTATTAAATAAAAAATTTTATTGGGACCGCTAATTAACGTATACTAGATAACTACTGAGGATAAAAAAAACTGCCCCACCGGTGATCGAACTCTGGGCCTGCACCTATTATCCCACAATCAGTAATCAAACTCAGGACTTTCAACCTCGTGCGTAAACGCTTAACCTTTAATCCACTTAGATTAACATTAAACGACTTACTTCTTATGTGTAAGGACGTGGGTGTGCACTGCTGAGTTGTCCTATGTTTGGCCAAAATGACCTTCCATTGCTTCCTGGTTTCAAATGCTGATCTAAATTAGATCGGTTCATAATTTCAATGAAATTAAATAGTTTCCACAACCACATACTGACAGTTAAGTTATTGTGTAAGTTGATTATAATAATAATTTTTCCGTCAACTTATTTTTTTGCTTTATCAAACAGCGTTTCTTTTCATTCTGCGATTATCCATTTGTATTTGACGCTGCATCCAAAGCTGAAATGCTTAATATTGAAGCTCGTTTAACAATGCAACAAGCTATGTCACAAGCGCAGCAATCTGCTATCTTTCAAAGTCTACTTTCACCATTTATTGGTACACGTATGTATGATGGCAGTACATCATCACCGTACTTCACTATTATTGTTCGACGTGATAATATTCTTCAAGATACACTTTCTAATTTGACAATGGCTAATCCTGCTGACTTCAAAAAGTTACTTAGGGTTTGTAATTGTGTATAAATCTCTCCCCTGGTTTCTGTTACACATTATATGTTGACATATTTATGTTTTGCTTGCTTCGTTCTATGGGTTTATGATCTAAGTTTTGACAATTGTTGAATAATATATGCATACTCAGAAAGATATACCGTCTTTATAAGAGGTTGTTAACCATAATTCCTGGCGCCTCAGTCACAGATATGTCACAATTCTCTTGTTTTTATCAGTGTCTATATTCTGTATGTATGTCGTACATACGTCACTCGACTTTTATAAATTAACTTGGGCGCATTTTGTTGATTCTCTTTACAGCATGCTTTGAGAAGTATCATGAAAATGTAAGGTTGGATAAGTGATTATTCTCTATTTAGATATGCTTGTTCATTCATTCAATAATATTCAAAGGGGGTTTTGTGGAGATTTTAATGATTTTATATAGTTGATATCATGAGCTAGACCATTGTTAAAAACCTGGAAGCACTTGACCGCAGTGCCTAATGGGCAACTGATCACAAACGGCTTGTCCGTGAGATATTCTCGAAGTATTTTAAAGGGCTTTTGGTAACTGGAATCCTTGAGCACCGGGTGTAGTGTTCTATTTTAAGGCCTGACCTTTTTAAACCTTTTCCGTTTTGAGGAGGCAGTATCGCTAAAAATGCTGTTTGTTTAATGTAACAGCTTACTGCCATCATTCCTCTGTATAGTCAGTAATATGCCTTCTCGTTTGAACCTTAAGTTACTGATTTAAGCATTTTTGCTCTGCAATCGACTTCCCTGGCATGGTAGAAGGAACCAAAAGAACAATCGTTTCAACCAATTTAACTGAATTGAGTCATTAAAACATCTATGTCCTACTACTATCATATTGAGTCCATCCACTTAAGACTTCATCGTTTCGTTATAATCTTCAATTTGTTACAAATTATAATTTACCGATTATATTAGTCATTTTTATTCATCAACGTTTCTCATCGTTTTTATATATGACTGAGTCTCTACTCATTTTTTTCCCATTCATAATGAACAAATAAATTTGATTATCTAATATTGTTGTCGTCGGAAATTTTTGTCAATAACTGAATTATCCTTCCTTTTTCCCCCTTCAAACATTATCAATTTACTTCAATATAAATAGAGGGGTGTAGAATTTTCTTACAACAAAAAACAACAAACAATAAAATAATAAGAATGAAATCAAATCATAAAACAATTTTATTTCATATAATCAGTTTTATTATTTCTCTCTTCATTGGTAATCATGATTGTATCAGTCAGTCAATCAGCTACAGAGTAGGATCAGGTATATTTATGCATCGGTCCAAGTTGCCATACCTTGTTAACACAACATGATAAACACCGGATTCATAGAAGTAGTTAAATTAGTGGTGATAGTATATAAAAGATAGGTTTCATGATTGTATACATTTTGATAAATGGTACTTAGGATGAACTATCTATTCTACATGTTTCAATGTTTTTGTATAGATCTTATCGATTAAATGTAACTATAATCTAGTTTAATCTTCATACTAGAAATCAGTATTCGATCACGATTAAAGTTTGTGACCAATATGGGAATCAATAGATTATTAGATTATTTATGTGCCCTTCTGGCAACTGAACATTTAAGTTTTGATTATTGACAAGAACAACGACATTATCAATAAACACACATATTTAATTAAATATTGGACAGGTTCTCAGTTTTCATGGAATCATATAATTCATCATCCATAAAGGAAATGTATAGAATGAATGGATTTCAATTCAATATCTGTCAGTGTTATAAGAGGTTTCAAATTTTTCTACTGAACACAGGCTACTCTGTGGTTTGACTCTGGTTTCATGACAGACTATTAATAATCCCAGAAACTTTTAATATTATATCAATTAGGCTATTAATCAAACAGTTGTTTCTTATATCATAACAGCCAAAACCATAATTCATAAAACTGTCTGAAGATGAATCATTTCAAATTGAGATCCGAATTCAAATGAATTGTGTTTGTTTTTTTGCATTTTCTTCAAATTCAATCATGGTACTTAGGATTTTAGTATTTCAAGAAAAACACCCTTTTAAAAATCTATTCAAATTTTATTTCACTGTTCAGTTATCACATTTGTAATTAAAATTCAATTTCAAGTGTTAACTATCTCACATAAAATCCTCTGCCTAAGAAGTCTTACTCATTGCCTTCTCGTGAAGTTACTGCTGTTTACGAAGTTGAGAAGACAAAAAGCGAATGTCCGGTGCTTTAACCGGGTTGGTGGACACGGAAAGTCTACCTAGGGGAGTTGGAAAACCCTGATTCCAAACCAATAGTGCACATGGGTTCCAGTATCCTGAGGGAACAAATGGCATCTGAATCAATCGTTGATCACCGGCTACCTTGGGACTGCATCTCCTCACAATGCTCCACTGCCTTGTGGGCCAGATATTTAGGTCAAAGGCTCAGTGTATGACCCCTTAAGAAAACCACCTGCTCCAGTTAGGGCACCTGAACAGTATCACAGCCCTCACACGAATCGAATGAGATTTGTGTGACGCATATATATCTGGTACCTCCTTTATCTGAAACTCATTACTGTAAATCAATGCCGATGTCTAATTTACAATTTTTTCCATAGAACTAACTATGCCCTAACAATTCTTACTTCAGACATGTTTTTACTTCTTGATTTTTTATATTGTAATTTAAAAAATTCAATATATATAGTCTGAACAAACTTGTTTTTTCAGGTGAAATTCGAAAATGAAGAAGCTGTAGATGAAGGTGGTGTAATGAAAGTAAGTTATATTGATGATGGTAGAAAGTTAATCATTGTTAAAATGTTATACTCATTTACTGAGGCAACAAATGGCTTATGGTCATCAGCTACCATAGAAGTGGAGTGCCTAACATTGTTCCTCTGTCTTGTGGACTTGACCTCTAGGTATGATTGTCGGGGAGTGGCCCTCTAAGAAAACCACCTGAGTCGGTTCGAGCACCCGGTCATTATCCTGATCCTCAAACAGGTCGAATGCTTTGTGTGGTGTATATATATTTGATGCCCTCTTGTGCCAGTATTTATGTGTGTAAGTAATAAATAACTATCATGGGATATCTGTTCATAGAAATTATGATCATTCAGTGTCCTTCCTTGTAAAATATTTCTCATCCGGTACTTTATTCACGCAAATGTTCTATTTTAATTATCTTTATATTCATGGAATTATTTGTTTTACTGTTGTTATTTTCTTATATCCTTTCAAGGAATTTTTCTTGTTAGTTATGCGAGATTTACTCAATCCTGTGTACGGTATGTTTCGTTGTTATCCAGAATCTCGAATGTTATGGTTTAGTGAATCAGTAAGTTGGAGTTTTTTTTTCTCTTGCTTCAAAAATGATCATTCCTTTTTTATTTCAAAATCTCTACTCATTTTATCCTGTGAAGCAGCCTATTAAATGGATTATCCTTACAATATGATATCTTAAATTTTCAGTTGAATTACTTGAAGCATTCGGCTATCAATGAATAAATTGTATGTTTAGATTGCGCTTTATTAATGTCTTTTTTAGCATCCCAGTAGTTTCAGTAGCTTTCATGAATTATGTGGCTTCAAGTCAAGTATCTAGATCATTTTTAGTAAATGAGTTACATTATTATTATTGTATTTATTGATAACTGAATTTCATGTCTAAACACCATCGAGCTTACTTTTTCCTAGTTTCTTATTCGTTTCACAACTGCTTGACGGTAATACACTAATAAGCAAAGATAGATAGCGGCTAGCAGTGGAATGCAGTGTGACGCGCGTTTCGTCTTATTTGGGACTCGTCAGCCGAATGTACCCGCATCTCAGGGTTGATGTTCACTCCGGGAATCGAAATTAGTACCTTTCTCTTCAAACGCCATCATTTTATCCACTTAGCTACTGAGGACTAAACTCGCATCCTGGAATCCACTGCTGGTCACTATCCATCTTTGCCTGTTATGCTTATGACTTAAGGCAATATCGAGGTAGTCCGCACAGGATGCACATATGCCAACGAGAGACTGATCAGTTGCCGTCCTAAACATCAATAGTTAGATTCAAGTAAACAATACCAAGTGAAGGGGATACACTTAGTTCACTAAGTCTTAATAAACATATTCCGTACACAGTATTTTGAAACGTTCCATTTACAGCTTTCTATCATTGAGATTTGTGTACCATTCAAACTAGTTTCTAACATATCCTGGATTGGTCTTAATTCTTGTTTGACATATTTTCAGTATACTTTGTTCTCATGTCTGGTTTGACAACTTGGAATTACACACAAACTTCAACATTCCATATGACTAAGTGATTGATTCCTCATGTTCCGATCTCTAAGAAAATCACATTTATTAAGTTAACATGACTCAAAATTCAACGAACTTCTGTCTAAAACTTGACCCGAGTACTATAATCATAATACTTCATCAAGGTACATATAACCTTGAAAATAACCGTAAAATTATCCACTTGCGACTTTATCATAATGTTTTTGTTACCGTCTATCCTCATTTGCTAAAAATTTCGTTTCTACAAGTTAGTAAAGGGTTGATGTTACCTCCGGGTATAGATTATCCATTGTATATAGTGAATTGTGAATTGTGAAACTGTTCACTATTATGTATCCAGTCACTGTTCGATTATATCATTTGGAAATCGTAAGCTTTTTTGAATCTATGTTGATTGTAATTATGTATTGCATAAAGCGGATAAATTTGTGTTAGTGAATAGTTTGTTGATTTGTCTACTGGTATTTTTGCGCTCTTCTTTTCTGATCTCTCTTCAGACAATGGAAAGTGAAAATGTCTTCCTAATGGTCGGTATCCTATGTGGCTTAGCTATTTACAATTCTATTATTGTTGATTTAAGTTTTCCATTAGCGATGTTTCGTAAATTGTTAGGTGAAACACCAGGATTAGATGATCTAAAAGAATTGGATCCAATTGTTGGTCGTTCTTTACAAGAATTACTGGATTATGATAATGCGGATTTGGCTGATGTGTTCTGTTTGAATTTCACTGTGAGTTATTGGTGTCCCGAAAAACCAATTACATAAGCATTTATTATTTTCTTGTTTTTGTAATATTCAAAGCTGGATTTCATCTAGTCTCTGTTGACAGGTAAATTGATCGACAAAACACTTAGTTATGGTCTGTAACTAGAAACTAATTATGTTTTTAGACGTTTGCCAACAACGCAACCGAGAATGTGCATAACTCAATAACCTGGTAAATAATGTGTTGTAGTTTGAAGTAATTGACACTAACTACGAATTTCGAAACCGAAGTGCAGGTATATTCAGCTGACGATTTCCTTGCAAGATGAAACGAATGTCCTTACTTCCATTATTAACTACTAAAGTAATAACTATTATAATAAGTCTTTTATCTAGACCATTTAAGAGGTATTAATAGACCGTTTGATATTAAATCTCATTGTCATTCAATACTAACCTTCTAGTAGAATTCATAAGTTATGCAAACATTTATTTGGTATACCACTTCAAGATGATATGGCTAATACACATTAATTCATCAAGGATTTTCAATCTCATAAAATCTACTATTCGGCACAAACCGTTAATGAATCATGATAGTTTAGATCCATTTCTTTATTCATCTAGGTTACAATTGATTATTTTGGTATGAATAAAATCATTCCCCTAATGGAAGATGGTGAAAATATAATTGTTACTCAAGAGAATAAAAGTTTATATGTTGAGAAATATGTTCAATATGTATTTCAGAAATCATGTGAAACACCATATAAGGCATTTGAAAAAGGATTTCTTCAAGTCTGTGGTGGTTATTCATTGAAATTGTTTCAACCATCTGAATTACAGGTTTGTGTTTAACTTTCTTTTTATTCTTTGATCTTTAATTCTATTCATATTGGGTTCTATTTTCATTTATACATTAATATAATGTAATAGTAGTAGTCGTTGTAGTAGTAAACTTTCATATCTAATCTGGTAAATTGGTCGTTTTGCAAGTTCGTTCATTCGACTTTCAACCATTAAATCTACGGTTGTGAAGTCATGCTTCATATGACTTCGGTTTTTATGATCAGATAATATCACCAACACTCAGATTCAAAGTATGATTCAAGGCTGATTGCATATGCATTTATCAAGAAGTCTCTATTTGTTCTGCACAAGTTTATTATACGGTAATGTAGTAAACACTCTGATCTTTTGCATTATCTATAAGCTTTTGATGATATTTTTTCTGGTTAGCGTTTTTTTAGCGAGTTGGTTTTCTACGGGATGGGGTCGCTAACCCCATGCCCAACCCTCCTCCTTTACCCGGGCTTCGGACCGGCAGTACCCCCCGGAGGAGCTACATGCGGAGTTTTTTGATGACATAATATCAAATAAAAATTCTTCTACAAGTGGATTTCTTTTCTTAGAAATTAATTCAGACATCTGTTACACGATTTTTATTATCATATTCCTTATAATAAACTGTTTTGCTAACATTTTCTATTCTATTCTGCATTATAGTCTTTAGTTGTAGGCTCAGAAGTAGTAAACTGGGATGAACTTCGTCAGAATACAACATATCAAGGTATCTACTGGGATCGACATCAAGTGATTATATGGTTTTGGGATGTATTATTATATGATTTTACTATTGAAGAGAAAAAGAAATTTTTACGTTTTCTTACCGGTTGTGATCGTGTACCGATTGTTGGTTTTAGTGGTGTAAAGGTCAGTGTATTGTGTAGAATATGATAACTTATTAGGTGTAATTTTAATTCTAGACCTGATTCCCATTTTTGATTATGTTTTCCAAATTTTAAACTTCGATTTTGTCATATCACGTGCACATAGTTTTTCACTTTTTTAGAGAGGGGAAGTAAAATTTGGCATCAGTCAGTCAGTTACAACGTAGGACCAGGCACACGTATGCATCGGTCCAAGTTGCTATACCTCGTTAGCACAACAAGATGAACACCGGATTCATAGTAGTTAATTTAGTGGTGGTAATATATAAAAGAAAGGTTGTATATAAGGATGTAGTATAGGAAGGAAGAACGTTATGAAGCAATTTTAATCTCAAGGTTTAAGGGAAGATAAAGAGTGTATACACCTACACCATTGTGATCGATTCTGAGCCATGTCACCCATAGTCTCCAACCATTGGTTACGATAATCACGCGGACCCCAACCAGGTAGTCTGCATCTGCCAACATGGATTAGACTAGAAGTTAGTGACTTCATGCTCTGATGCCACGTTTTGGTTTGGCCGCCCCTAACTCTCTTCCAACTATCCCTTACACTAGTCAGCATAGCGCCTTGTGGTAATCGGTGTTCAGACATACGTAACACATGGCTCAACCATCTCAGTCGATGAAGATTCTTGACCTCATCAACTGACTTACCATCATTCCTTAATACTTTGTGTCTAACCTCACTATTACTTACCCGGTGATCCCAGCAGATGCGAGCAATATTTCTAAGGCATCTGTGGTCAAATGCTAGTAACCTACGAGTATCTTCTACTCTTAATGGCCATGTTTCACAGCCGTAAAGTAGAACAGAGCGAACTGCTGCTCAGTATACTCGTCCTTTAATTGATAGACGAATATCTCGTCTTCGTCATAGGTGACGTAAGTTGGCAAAAGCCAAACGAGCTTTTTGAATCCGTGCAGAGATTTCGTCAGACACCAACCGATTAGGGCTGATCAGACTTCCAAGATAAGTGAAGTTGGATTACTTTACTCCCTATCCTTAGTTCGGGTGTTGACGCAGGCCAGTCCTGGAGTTACAATTTGGCATATCGCTCTTCGTATTGATAAAGCAATATATTTCAGTGTAAAACACAAATAACCAGAATGCCAAATTATGTATTTCATGGTCATTGGTTTTCATTTTTACTATACTCTAGTAATTTATTTTGTATTATCTTTTCTTAAATAATGCTATATACTGCAAGACCTTGAGACTTCACCTTAGACATTTAACCATTTGTTTACGGGATTGGTATTCAAGGGTGTACATTTCGAACCTCAGTCAAACAGTAACATTACGTAATCATCTCCCAATTCTATTAGTGGAGAATTCCTTCACACCCGACATGGCTGAAATCCATTGGTTACAGCTTTTTTTTAGAAATCTGAAAATTATCACTTATTGAAACTAGTTACTATTAAGCACATTATTAATTAGTATTAGGGTTCTGGACAAGTGAGTTGGTGCCTGAATCCAGTAGCTAAGTAGGATAAAATGTTATTGTTTGGAACAAAAGCGATTGGGACCAAATGCCGAAATCAACACTATGGTATATAGATACATTCAACTAAAGAATTCCAAATAGGACGAAATTCCCGACCCTGATTCCGCTGCTAGCCCTATTTTGTGTGTTATGCAAAATATTAGGAGTTTTGTTAAACTTGTTGACTTTTGCAAACTATACAATCAGAATATGACACATTATTACCTGTATTCCTCTGCGAAACTTCTATTGTTTTCTGATTTAATAGTGTCTTCAGCGTTTTGCCAGATTCTGAAAAATCTGATGAACTCTCAAAAGCCCTCTATCATATTACTCATTTTACTACACTTTTTTTTAATCTACGTCTAGAAACGATGCTCAAATCAGAATCTGTATCTGTTACTCTCAACTCTGGGTATACTTTCTTTCCCATAGTCTAACGTAGAATTCTTTGACCCCTGATACGTTTCGATTGGCTACAATAAATCTTGATCTATGGCGAGTAAAAATAGTTTCAAGTTGCAATTTTTTTAATATTCACTCCGTTACAGAACTTTCAGTCAAATTTAAAATATCAGATAGAAAGTGTTAGCTCTATTTCAAACTCTATTGCAGATAAGTCGCTCCTGGAGATCATGATTTTTGAATGGATTGGATAATTATCTTGTGAATTGAAGAGTTAAAACGTTAGGTTATTATAATTTCTACCCTGATTTATATATAATTAGCCCTCAAAAATTCATTCTTAATATAGAATTCTTTCATAAAAGCTTCACTGCGGTTAGTTAATCTTTAAGATCAATTAAAACCCATCCGTTTAATACAGCCTTACTGTCTTAAATTGAGTTTTCAACACTTTCAATGTATACAAGTGCTCTCATACTTAATATTATCCCCCAAATGCCATGTACGACCGAGAGTGAGGAGAGTCTGCTCTCCCACTCGAAATTCTCTCACATGGCCACGGGTATAGAGCCTCCGTCAGGGAAGTCCTACTCACTACCTACCTTCTCGTGGCGAGGGTGTTGTTTACGAAATTGAGCGCTTTAACTGAGTTGGTGAACATAAGGGGTCCACCTAGGGGAGTTGAAAAACCCTGATTCCAAACCAATGATGCACATGAACTCCAGTGTCCTGAAGGAACAAATGGCGTATGAATCAATCATTGGTCACCGGCTACCATGGAACTACATCTCCTCACAATGCTCCAATGCCTTGTGGATCAGATCTTTAGGTCAAAGGTTCCGGATATGGCCGCCTAAGAAAACCACCTGCTTCAATTTGGGCACCTGAGCAGTATCACAGCCCTCACATAAATCAAATAAGATTTGTGCAGTGCATACATATTTAGTGCCCCCTAGTACCAATATTTATATGTTTAAATAATAATAATAAATACAATGTACGATTATTATTATTATTTTTCTTTTAGATTACAATTCAACCAAATAATAGTGGTGATGATTTTTTGCCTGTAGCACATACATGTGCTAATCTATTAGATTTACCACAATATAGTTGTAAAGAGATATTAGCTAAAAAATTATCATTAGCTATTCAACAAACAGAAGGTTTCGGTTTAGTTTAATATAAAAATTGTCAATTTATTATTCTCTTGGTTTTAATTTTTTTTTTTAATTTTCAAATTCAGTTACCATGGGGTGCATGTATGTGTGTGTGTAGATATTGCATAATTACTTCTTTTCTATTATTATTATATATGTAAATTTACTGTAAATTCCATATACCCTCTGGAATAGATATATACTATTGACTAGAAAGATTATTATTTTCCTTATAAATCTATTTCAATATTGTATATCTGTTACCTTTTGTTTTCTTTTTCTTTTTTTTCTTCTCTTTCTTCACTCTGATTTTGTGTGTGTGTGTGTGTGACTGATTCTTGTATGGTGTTGTATTCTTTCTAATCTCTTCTTTTTGCTTGTAAAAGTTCTATTTAAAGAGAAGAACTAGTCTGTTTAACTCTTCATTACATGCAGACTGCAACTATCCTTTTTTTCTGTCGAATAGTTTACAAGTTTCAATGGAATTGAAGCAATGAATTAAAATGAATCTGTTTGTTTTCGATAACGTAATAAGAAGACGAAGATTATCAGAACTATGTGATGAGATTATTATTATTAGCTTTATTCAATATTATATTATTTGGTACAAAATCGAATTCTCAGCATAAAGTATTTCAACATGTTTACGTTTCTTATTTCTTCGTTGCTCCTGATGATAAACATTCAGCGATCACCAGTTGGATGTCAGCAGTTTAGTCAATAGACATATGAATAATGTATATTCTTTTTGCTGCATGTTCCCAGCAAACACGACATATCTGATTAGGCCTTTTGTAACTTTTACAGCGAAAGGTTGTACAGTTTTCAGAAACGCACCGGAATAGGTTGTATGCTTAATAGCCATAATTATGTATTAAAACAAACAATATTAGATAACTTGTTGAAATATATAAATGACGGGAAACAGGTAGCCCAGATGTTTAAGCAGGCCGCCCAAAAAAAATATTAGCAAAAATATATTAGAGATATTAGCACAATACATTTCGAACAATCTGATCACACATAATATACTTGTTAAGAACATTTATATATAAAAGGTCAACAAGACTGGAAATAGGGGGGGGTAAGAATAGACAAGGATAATAATGATAAAATAATGTGAAAACAATTTGATACCTAATCACTCTAGTTAATTAGCCAATATTACCAGGGTAGGCTTAAGGAGAGAATACACAAAGGGGGTTTGAATTTTCGTATGGCTAAGGCTTCAATAAACGTTAGTATACGCCCTTTTACATGTTTATACAACACCACGGAAGCCAAGTTTAGATCAATCTTATGACCTGTTTCGATTATATGTTTAGCAATAGAGGATGATGGATGTTTATCCTCTACTCTTATTGGGTCATTCGACTCTATTTGTTTATGCAACCATTTTGGTACATGTTCACCCACCCTAATTTTCAGATCACGATTGCTCCCCCCTATGTATATGTGACCATACACACATTTAAATTGGTAAACGCAATGAGATATGACACAATTGTTTTCATATCTTCTAGGTCTTAAATGAAATATGGACCTCGTTTTTTTTTTATTATGACTGCTGCACAATACGTTTTTTTTTGAAAATTAGCGTTTTGTTGCTAATTCACTGAAAAAACGATAATGATACTATCTGGTTGTTTAAAGTATACTAAATAGAAAGAATATTTGTAAACGTCCTAATTCATTGCTTATAACTAGAGTATTTAAACGAATGAGTAGTGTGTTCACTGAAGCAACAACTGTCTCTGACGAAATGTGACAGTTAGTTCTAATAAATGATGTTATGGAGATGGAAAAGTGCACAATATAGATTACATTATTATTCAATGTATTATTATATATGAGTAGGATAATATAACTTAAATATTGTGATTTCAAGACACCAGTCTACTTCTATTTCAGAATTCTATGAGTCACTTATTCTTAAGTGAAATTAATTAGTTGAACTATATTTTATGACCTGTGACTAAGGGGTAGCTGACTCGGGTTTATGTCTGGTCGTTGAACGTAAACGACAAGAAACTCACGAGTAGTTTATGTGTATATCTTAAACTGATATCTTTATCTCTGGAATTGAAGCTGGTAAGGTAGACCTTGTTAATAAGTGAAAACTGATAACGAGCTACCTAGCAACTTACTTTAACCATTAAACATATTATGAATACATTAGTAACCGCGTTGCATATTTGGTCTGTAAAAATCTGTCATTACTAACGCCTCGATAACATGACATTGGTTGCTATTTTTAATGACTTGTTAGATTTTTAAACCCTGATTATTCATTTCTGTTAGCATTCATCAGTAAAGTGTAACTTCGACCTCAAGAAACAGTTATGGAACCTAACACTAGAGTTCCAAGGTAAACATCAACTCTAGGATGCAGATACATCCACCCGACGAGTCCCAAATAGAACAAAATGTGCGTCAAACTGCATTCCACTGCCAACGACAATCCATCTAAGCTTATAATGCTTGTGACTAAAGGCAGTGTCTCGGTAATCCGTACAGGATGCACTTCGCAGATGATCTGGCTCTTCTATCACACACGCGACAAATTCAGGAGAAAACGACCAGTGTAGCAGCAGTAGGTCTCAATATAAGTAAAGTGAAAAGCAAGACTCCCCGATACAGTACAACGTGCACCAATCGAATTACATTTGACAGAGGAGCCTTGGAGAATGTGGAAACCTTTACATATCTTGGCAGCATCATTGATGTCAAGACAGTTCTATTGTATGGGGTGGAGAACTACGATAGCCATCATCCAGAAGATACAAGTGTTTAAATAACAGTTGTCTTCGTAAAATACTTAGGATCCGTTGGCCAGACACTATCAGCAACAATCTACTATGGAAGAGAACAAATTAGAATTCAGCGGAGGAAGAAGCGCTGGAAGTGGATTGGTCACACATTGAGGAAAGTACCCAACTGCGTCACATGACAAGCCCTCACATGGAGTCCTGAAGGAGAAATGGAGACAGATATGAAAAGAATGAACAAAAACTGGATAGAACTAGAAAAGAAGGCTCAGGACAGAGTGGATTGGAGAACATTGGTTGGCGGCCAATGCTCCTTTGGGAGTAACAGGCGTAAGTAAGTAATACAGGATGCACATATGCCAATAAGATAATTCAGACAAACAATACAAAAAAATGAACTTATTACTATTTGTTTGTGAATCTTGAACATCAACCAATAAACATTGTAATGTCTGTAAGATGGTGGTTGGAGGTGGTCAACAGGAAACTCTGGATCGGGGTTTTTCGTGCTACTTGGCACTCGTCAGCAAGGTGTACCTGTAATCTTGAGTGAACTGATGCTCCCTGGCTGATTCAATCTCACGTCACTCAGCTTCACAGTCAGAGACAATACCACTGAGCTATTCGGGCCGCGACCAACCTCCTGTAGGACGGAGATCTAATGTCTGTTCACCACTTAACAAAATCTTACAAATTACAGTACAATTGTATATTATTGCATTTATATATAGGTATCAACTGTAAGATAAGTGATGTTTCTGCAACATATAAAAAAGAACCATTTGTATATTATATAAGCAACCAAAATGGTAATACACACAGTTCTTTCTATACAAAATCATATAATAATGTATACTATCAACGTTTATATATAAAGATTAAATTATCACCATTAGATCATATTAAGATAAGGATTATATAAAAATGTCGATTTATAAACTTTAATAAAAAAAATTTTTTTATAGTTAGAACATATTGTTAAATGTAAAACGTTTGGCATGGTAACGTGGAAAAAAAGTTCGCAAACCCGACAGTTTCTGGGTGGTAATTTACTCGTTTCTTGTTGTACTACTCCTTTCTTTCCATTTACATTATCATATACCCAGTGTTGAAATGTCAATATCTTTAATAGATGGATATTCGACAAGATATTTTAAAACAAGTTCACGTGATTCATCTGTGAAAAAAACAAACATAAAAGTCATTAGATATATTGTTTAAGGAAACATTTTACTGTTTGAAATATCAGGAGTTTTTGTGAAGATTTTAGTAATTTTATATGATTGAGATCATGAGTCAATTGAAGTTAGACCACCAAGGAAAACCTGGAACCACTCATCATATCAACTATATAAAATTACTAAAATCTCCACAAAACTCCTTTCTGATAATGATCATATGCTCACTAGTGACTGGCTCCACGAGGTATTTCCTGGAGTTCTAGTGAGAAGCAGTAACCAATGGAGTTCAACCAGGTCTTTTGAGAGATATCGACTCATCGAAGACAATGGTAAATGGTTGCTCAATTTTGTGGATTGGTTGAAGTTAGATATTAACACCATTGGATGCTGGCCGACTAAGTGGTCTATCGGTTAAGTGCTATGGTGCGAGACTGGTAGGTCCTGGGTTCGAATCTCGCAAGGCGGGATCGTGGATGGGCACTGTTGAGGAGTCCCACAATGGAACGAAACGGCCGTCCAGTGCTTCCATATTTCCCATGGTAGTCTAACTTCAACTGACTCATGATCTCAATTATATTTGAAATGTGTCTATCTCACATGTAATAACATTTGAATGTGATAATATTTGAAAAAATCGAAATGTTCAGCGAATTGTACAATGTTTATTGAGTCATATGATATACATAGTTTGTCTGGTAAGTCAAATACAAGTATGAAATAAGTATAAAAATGATTAAACTGCTCATCTAGGCAAAGTCCCTAGAACACATCTTTGAAATCTCAGTCATTTTGACTTATTCCATATTCACTGTAGGTATTATTTTCTTATAATCAGAGGTCGTGGTACATTTTCCTCTTCTGCATCTATCAGGTGGCGCGTCGTCTAAATAATAAAAAAGTTCTCGCTGTATTTGCACCTAGTGGCTGAATAGTAACACGGTCGTGACGTGAATGAAAATAGTATAATTTCGAAACTATTCAGTGTTAAGGACACTTAACAATTGGAAAAAAGCATCTGTGTAGGACTTTCTGAGTTTCAGATGCCCTAAACCTGATGTCTTCTTTAATGTATAAGCTTTCTGAAAAAAATGTCAACTGTATTGCACTGCTTTCAAGGAGATTTACCTTGATGAACGTTTACTAAAGGTACACTTCGCTTGCATGAGAATTACAAACAAGTCTCAAAGTGACATATTTCATATAAATAAAGAAAATTCACTTGTCGGAAATGAGTGCGACAATAAATTAAATTTCTTTGACACCAGGCGGGAAGATGGTTCAGTAAACGGAAGTGTACACAGAAAGAGCTACCCAACGTGTCAGTTATGCACTTGTTTATTCTTCTACCCATCCAGTACAAAAGAAATTTGGTTAGATGTCTTACAAACAGGGCCAAAAAGACATTTTTACGGATACGATTAACGAGTAATTAACTTACATGGAGCAAGTTCGATATCCCATTCAATTGATTTCGTTTTACTTATTCTTATTGGTTTCGTTGGATCATATTTATCTGGATTTTTAATTGATGGTTCAATAAGTTGAATCTTGTTGGTACGAAAAATAAAAATTAGAAAAACTAAACCAATCATTTAAAAAGCCTATTTTTTTAAAAACTGTCTAATGTTGCGTATTTAGTATAGGACTCCTAGGCAAGTTTTCTATTTAAACATATAAGCATTGGTACAAATGAGAACAGAAATATACATACACCAGGCAGAGTAGTAACCATGATATTTTTGTGTTGGATAGGACACTGTCAGGATCCTCAAACCGAAAAAGGCAGCTTTCTTAGTGGGCCAATCCCCTCCACAAGAACGTGGAGCAACGTTATTAGATCCAGTCCTATACTAGCCAGTGACCAACAATAGGTTCATACACCATTTGTTCCTTCAGAATCCTGGAGCCCATGTGCACCATCGGTTTGTAATTAGGGTTTTCCAACTTCCCAAGGTTGATCCTCCATATCCATCAAACCAGTTTAAGCACCGGACATTAGCATTTCTTCCTCTCAATTTCGTAAAAAAAAACAACGCTACTGCAAGAAGACAATGAGTAGGAGTTGGCTGGAAGTGGCTGTATACGCTTGGCGATGTGAGAGCATTTCGAGAGGGCGAACTGGCTCTCCTCACAATCGTCCACACCAGAGCAACTCTACACTCAAACGAACGTAACACATTGCAACTACCTATTCAGCATAATATGATTTAGATCAGTCAGTGTAAATTTAGGTAGTTCATAACTTAACACAATCCTAATCCAGTTTAACTTAAAATACAGTGACCAGTTCCATGTATCATATTGCTGTTCGAATTCAGTCAATAATCATGATATACTCTATGGTAAACATCCCTGGAATCAATAATGAAGCACTTGATTTAATACGACTTAAACTATCCTCATACTTTCAACAGTAAAGATATGAATTAAGGTAAAAATAAAAAGTTGAAACTGGTTACCTTTAATTTGTCCTCTGTACTAACTGGCAGTTGATCGATCACTAAAAGTTTCATACTTCTTGGATAACTATTTTCTACTGATATAACTTGTTTACATACTATAGACATTGTTTTATTACCAAGAAATGTTCCAGTCTTTTTATATTTATGTTTTGGCATATATGTGACACGTATACCAGGATCATAGCCTAATTCACATGTGAATTCTTCTTGTACAGCAGTAGCAGATAATTTTGTCTAAGAAATATAGAGAAAATAATAAATTGGTTGACAGTAATTTAATGATTAAGTATCGAATAATAATTAGTATTATAGGGTTTACAACCGATTGATCATTGCGTAGTGATTGCTGTCATGTGTGTCAGCTCCTTCGTAGTGCAGATCAAATTCTGTCTACCACTAGTCGACTCGACACTGTGTGTACTATTTTGAGATGAGATGTTGGTTGGAGGTAGTCAACAGAAAACTCTGGACCTAGGTTTCATGCTACTTGGCATTTATCAGCAAGGTTTACCTATAGTCTTGAGGGAACTGATCTTCCCTAACGGATTCGATCCCATGTCACCCTGTTTCACAGTCAGAGACGTTATCACTAAGCTATTTGGGCCGCGACTGAACTCCTGTAGCACTGAGATGGTTGATCATTACCGGCGACCACAAGATTACAGGTAGACCTAGGGTCAAGGGTCTTCTGTCGACTACCTTCAACCACTATCTCATCTCAATGTTATCGAGTATTGTAAGAATTATTTATGGTTTATCAATATTTAGCAAATTAGTATTCATAAGCTTTTGTCAAATATTGATATGATAGGATTCCTAATGTTAATCTGTTTTAAAATAACTAGTCTCATAAGTAAGAGTTTCTCATCAAAGGATCTGTAAACACACATTACTACGATGACCAATTATATTTATCTTCATCTGTCAGGCGATGTACATAGACTCTGTATCGAAGCTTTATCTCAATCATATTGAATGATATCGCTGAAAATTGATTAATATAGGCTAACGTAAACCTATTACATTCTTTACTTAGGAACATTCAGTTTCAAATCTGGCCAATTGGTTAACATCTGAAACTAATTAACAGTGTGTTTAAGCTTTAGCTGTCCATAATTTAAAATCAAAGTTCTGTTTATAAAAGCAACATGTTAGACCCTTCTTTTTAACATGCGCTTTGTTTATACATATTTTGCTCTGATGTTTGTTCGTATTTTCTCGTTATTATTATTATCATTATATTTCTCTACTTAAAAATCAGGATTATCAGTCATATTAGATACCATCCATTTCAAATGACCTATTATTAGCAATTATATTAATTAAGCAAAGATGGATAGTGGCTAGTAGTGAAATCCAGTTTGACGCACGTTTCGTCCTATTCAGGACTCGTCAGCTGGATGTACCTACATCTCAGAGTTGATGTTCACTCTGGGACTCGAATCCAGTACCTTTCGCTTCAAATGACATAATGTTATCCACTTATCTACTGAGTCCTGATAGCCATCTGTTTGTGCAATCTTTGCTTAAAATGTTTGTGACGCGCGTCAAACTGGATTCCATTGCTACCAACTATCCATCTTTGCTTATAATGATTGTGAATTAAAGGCAATATCGAGGCAATCCGCTCAGGATGCACATATACAAACAAGAAACTGATCAATCGCAGCCTTAAACAATAATGGGAAGATACAAGCAAACAACATCAAGACAACTTAATTACACTCATTGTTTTCTTCCTGAATAATGATATTATTTTCAATGTTCCAAATATCCCCACCTTTTTATAACTATTTTTTTAAGCTTATTAACTTTTAATAAATGAGTAACAATAAGGTTTCTGTTCAAGATGAAGTTTTCAAACCTAATGATGTCTAGCAAAAATGGATAGTGGCTAGCAGTGGAATCCAGCTTGACGCGCGTTTCGTCCTATTTGGAACTCGTCAGCTGGATCTTTGCTTACAATGCTTGTGAAATAAGGCTATATCGAGTCAATACGCACAGTATGCATATTTGCCTTATAAGAGACTGACCAGTTGCAGTCCTAAACATCAATGGGAAGACTGAAACAAGTAATACTAAGTGAACTTAAACTAATCTTGTCTAGTAAACATAATGCTTATAGACTATAATTTTAAAGTTAAATTAAAACAGTAGTTTGATATTTTATATTATTTAATAACTTTTCAAATGATATTAGTTATCAAAATTTTTTTCATAGTTAAATTCATAAGTCCATCTAAGTTAGATCACCATTGAAAAACTAAAAGCATTGGATAGCCATTTCATCCTAGTATATGATTCCTCAACAGTGCGTATTCACGTTCCCATTGGTGAGACTCGGATACAGAACGCTTAATCTTGCGCGCAAACGCTTGACCAGTAGACCTTGTAAGCCGGCATCTGACCATGGTACTGTCTAACTTTAAGTCGATCCATGGTTTTGCACAACCCTTCATCTATTATTTGAGGTAGATAAATGTCTCAACCCCATACGGGTTGAACTCCAATAGTCACCGCTTCTCACTAGAACTAGATATTAATTGATAATTTTGAGAAACTATATCTAAATCTATAACTTCACTCCTTTAGCACTTCATTGTAAATACCTTTTTCATTGTCATTTTATTACATACAAATGAGTTGGTTTTTAGCTTACAATAATCATAATCATAATAATATCTATCAATAGGTGAATGAATACAAACATCGCCTAAATAACATATTCACTCTCACAGATTTGATTCAGTTTTATTTTGTTTTCCTTTTTGGGTACGGAGACTCATTTGACAAGAATGTTAATAATAACATATATGAATTTTTTTAAGAAGTTGGGAAAATTACTGTTAATATATTTATTCAATAAATAAATTTATTCTATTATTCAACCTTTTCTCTCTTATGGAACTCGGTGGTATGGAATCGAATCCGTCTTGGAGCATTAGTTCCTTCAAGATGACAAGTGTAAAGTAGCACGAAACCTAGGTTTAGGGTTATCTGTTAACTACCTCCAACCACCATCTTTTCATTGTCACCACTGTCAGACGGCATCTATTGACTGATGATATTACACATTTCTAATGATTATTTTTTTATATGTACGATTGTAATTACTGATGGATATTTTGATCATAAATCAATATCTTATGAAATTACACAAACCGTACTTGATCTTACTTTATATTGTATTCAGTTTTCTGCATTATATAAACTGTACACTTGACTGATATTTTACTTTACTTTGCTTACGCTTGTTACTCCTTATGGAGCATAAGCCGCCGACCAGCATTCTCCAACCCAATCTGTCCTGGGCCTTCCTTTCTAGTTCTATCCATTTTTTGTTCATTCTTCTCATATCTGTTTCCACTTCTCGGCGTAATGTTTGCTTTGGTCTTCCTCTTCTCCTTCGACCTTCAGGATTCCATGTGAGGACTTGTCTTGTGACACAATTGGGTGATTTCCTCAAAGTGTGCCCAATCCACTTCCAGCGCTTCTTCCTGATTTCTTCCTCCGCTGGAATCTGGTTTGTTGTCTCCCACAGTAACTTGTTGCTGATAGTGTCTGGCCATCGGATCCGAAGTATCTTGCGTAGACAGCTGTTAATAAACACTTGTATCTTCTGGATGATAGCTTTCGTAGTTCTCTAGGTTTCCGCCTTAAACAGTAGAACTGTCTTGACATTTGTACTGAAAATTCTGATCTTGGTGTTGATTGACGATTGTTTTGTGCTCCAGATGCTCCTCAGTTGTAAATATGCTGCTCTTGCTTTGCCGATACGCGCATTCTCATCTGCATCAGATCCACCGTGTTCATCAATGATGCTGCCCAGATATGTAAAGGCTTTTACATCCTCCAAAGCTTCTCCATCAAGTATAAATCGATTGGTACATGTTGTATTGTATCGCACCCTCACATCTACATCAGACTTGACTAATATTGGTAAGGGTTTTGTAGAGATTTAGTATTTTCATAGTTGAAAGCTGAATCAATTGAAGCTAGACCACCATGGAGAACCTAGGAGCACTGGTCGGCCGTTTCGTCCTTTTGTAGGACTCCTCAGCGCGAGACCGTTAGGTCCTCGGTTCGAATCTCACAAATCGAGGTCGTGGATGCTCACTTCCTACAATAGGACGAAACGGCCGTTCAGTGCTTCCAGGTTTTCCTGTTGGTCTATCTTCAATTGACTCACGCTTTCAACTATGATAATATTGAAAACTTTTCATTTGATAGTATATATTATTATTAAATTATAAAATGACACCCAAAATATAACTTCATCATGAACAAATAATATACAATACATCAATAAACAAAAAAGAAAATGCACGTGAACTACTTACTTTTCCTATAAAATTATTATCAATATATACACTTGCTTGACCTTCTAATAATGCATATTCTGATAGATTATGCATTGTAGCACGTAGAAAAGCTTTTGGTGTTTGTTTCGGTATTGTAATATATTTTAATATTGGTTTAAATTCTAATATACCAATAGTAACACGATGTGGTTCACCATTACCTTTTATAGATTTTGGTGGTTTTGATATTTCAAATGAAAGAGATGGAAAATAATTTTTTTTATTTTTTAATATTTTTTTAAAATTATTTAAAGTAGAAAAATTTCCCACTTTTATTGAATTATAATTTGAATCATTATTTTGTTTAAGTATAATACTATCTAATGATATAGAAGGGTAATGAGTTAATATATAATCTGTATTATTGATTAAATGATTTTCATTTTTATTCTGGAAAAGAAAAAAAAATTTATAAAATATTATCAAAAAGTTATGATGTCATTATATTCAGAAAGAATTCATCGTATCATAGGTTAGACATGACTTTGTAATATAGCTATGTTTTAAGAGATTATAAAATTACCTAAATCGGTGAATGAAACGAAAATTCAGCGACATTTCCTTTAATGACCAAATAAGCTAACTATTTGGATGAGTTCGAGCCTTACTAACTAGTGGGAGAAGTTCAAGTTTATAAGAAAGAAATAAGTTCTACAAGTAGCCGGAAGTATGAACAACAACCAGCACGCAACTTAAGCGGATATATACAGGATAGAATGTTCTTAGGAAATGTCACAAAATAACATATTAGAAGATACGACGAACTAATGACATGTAAGATCCTCTTAAGTGGGAAATACGATGTGAATGTGAAAATGGGGGATTTTGGCATGAAAACAAGAAATACAAATTTCCAAAATAAAATTTAAAAAATAAACATTTACCAAGTGGTTATAAGCAAAGATGGATAGTGGATAGGATAAGCGTTTCGTTCTATTCGGGACTCGTCAGCTGGATGTACCTGCATCTCAGAGTTGATGTTCACTCTGGGACTCGAATCCAGTACTTTTCGCTTCAAACGCCATCTCGTTATTCACTCAGACACTGAATCCTGATAGCCACTTGCTTGTGTAATGGGGTGAAGTTTAAATTCACTTAGTATTGTTTGTTTGAATCTTCCCATTGATGTTTATGACTGCAATTTATCCTATGAGTTCTGAATATCTAACATCCGCAGCAAATATATCTTCATTTTTATTTGAATACTTCGTATTTTACTATTCACAAACTTCAGTGTTAAGTCTAGGAAAACTTTCAACAATTAATAAACTTATATGGTTCAGATCATGAGTCAATTGAAGCTAGACCACCATAGGTTCAAATATGGCGAGGCGGGATCGTGGATGCGCACTGCCACTGAGGAAGCCCACAACAGGACAAAACACCCGTCCAGTGCTTCCAGATTTTCCATGGTGTACTAGCTTCAATCGACTCATGAATTCAATCATAAAATTACTAAGATCTCCACAAAACTCCCTTCTAATTATTAAACTTACAAGAAACAGTTGTTGATCTTTTTCAATTTAAAATTAATTTTATTCATGGATAATTAATGTCGGATAACAAGTTTAAAAAATTATAAAGAATAAGACAAACATATCTGTTATGTCGATTGATTGCGTGCCCTCTTTAATATATGAACGTGCTGATTCCCGCCAATTAGAGAGAGGCGAATTCATTGATCGCCCAATGACACACAAAAGCCGTATGAGCAGTCTTGGGTACTTATCAGTCCTGCTTTCTGTCCAGCCTAGTCAGTCAAGTTCAGAACATCGATAACTGCCTCTGCAATATGAATCATTATTGTCAAACATACTGGGTTTATATACCAATCAAACTGATCATATCGTACCGTAAAATAGAAAATAACATTTGTACAAGATTTGGCCAAATGTGGCTGTGAGTAGGGAGAACAGTAATTAATGAACTACGGATAACTCAAGAATAAAGCTTACAATAAGAGGGACACGAATACCAATAGTTTAGTTACTTAACAATTATACAATAGGAAATATACATATCATATTGGTCCATAAACAGTCCTCAAAGTTACCATTCATAAATCTCCACGGGATATAACAATATCAACTTAGGTTGAAAATCTTCTTCCTGAAATCAAATCCAATATTTACAGATATTTGATAAACACAAGTCAGAATACATTGTCTTCTACTCTTTACTTTATTTCATAGGGAAGCTTAAACGCTATACAATGCTTGTAATCTATCTAATCTAAATTTTACTTTTCAAGAGTTTGGTGGAAAAATCTTTATTCATATAAGTTTTACTTTCATATATCAGACAACTAACAATTTTACTTACTGTATAATAACGTTGACTTGATAATGATCTTTGATGATTTGCTTCATTTAAATGACTACGTTCTAGTCTACTTCTTGAATCATTTATTGTTTGATCAATTTGATTGTATGTTTCATTTTTGTATTCATTGTAATGATATTGTCCAGTAACTATTTCTTTTAAAGGAAATAATGATGATGATACTGTTTGATGATCATTTGAATCATCTAAGTGAAATGAACGTGCTTTTGACTTTCTTACAAATTTATCAATATGTTGACGTCTACGAACAACACTAAAATTGCATAGGAAAATATAAAATATGAATGGATTAGTTTACATTCACAATGATTATTAAAACACTATGTTCAATCAAATAATTTTATTGTGAGACTTGAAAATTGTAGATTGCAAGTCAAAAGGAATCAAACAGTTGTTTTATCCTAGTTGGGTACTTCCTTGGAAAGTAAACCCATATCTATCTACAAATATCAAACACAATAACGTTTCATATGTTATAGAGGGGGGGCACAGAAACATAAAACCACCTAACTAGAATTCAGTTATGCATATTTTTAATTTCATTCAGCTATCAATATGGCCTGATGATCATTGAATGGCATCGGTGATAACAATCGTACTACCGTAAAGAGGGATCTTATCAGTCACTACTTTAAGACGGAATTTAAGTCGTTCACTTCAGATTATTTTGCTAATTAGTATACAAGTATTGTTTAGTTCAATAGTTGCTGAGGATTAATTGTTTTTGAAGAAAATTTTGATCATGACAAAGCATTATTCAGTGAAAAAAAATTCTCGAAGTCAATCCATCACAAAAACTTTACTTAACTTGAATTAACCTCCCAAAATCTCTCATCTAGAGTTATTATTGCCTGAAGTATTTTGTTTTTAGTAGTAAATATATTAACAGTAAGATAACTCAATAGCTAGATGGATAACGCGATGGCGTTTGAAGGGAATCGTACCTAGTTTTTTTTTATCTGACAAATGACCTACTGAACCGGTTGTCTACAATATCATGTGTATAAAATAAATTTAACTGACCATATTCAGATAATCTGAGAACACTAACATCGATCGGTTGAAAGGGATTAGAGTTGAGTTCTAACCTAGGATAATGCATTAGTCATATCCTTTCAGCTAATGCTTGTTATTGTTAAAAGGAAACTCTTTTCAAGTAGTCGTATAGGTCATTACTCAAAGTTCTACATTCATATGGATAACTGATAAGATATTTTGACTTTATCAAAGTATAGATTTTCTCAGCATACTTACGCTGACATCAAAACTACATAAAACTAAATAGAAGTTCACTAATTTGACGCGTAGTTTAGGGGATATCTTTATTGTTGAGTAAAATTAATTGGCCAAATTAATCACTTGCCCTAGCAAGTTGTTTGCTAATATTCATTTCAGGGTTGATGAAATTATTCAATCTAAGAAGACGTGGTCAGTCGAATTTAGGCTCACTGGGTCCTAAACAGATATTCCCAATGCCAATATTATTTTTCTGGTTAGCGTTGTTTTAGCGAGTTAGCTTTTCTACGGGATGGGGTCGCTAACCCCATGCCCAATCCTCCTCCTTTACCCGGGCTTGGGACCGGCAGTAACTCTAGAAGAGCTACAGGCCAATGGACAACTGTCATTAATTATTGTTCAATGAATGATTTTAGAAATGTGAACTAATAACTGCCTACTGAATGATCCAAAAGTAATGTGGCCACCTGGGAAAAAGAAGCTTCTGTTTTCGATTCGTAGCAAGATTGTCAATTCTGCTTGACAATAGTACGAAACAATTATTCAATGCTATGTAGTTTCTAATGACTGTCCAGATAAGGTCAGTCCATAATGTAAAATATTCATAATTCATCTGAATCACCTGTTTTCAAATACTACGCTGATATAGCAATATTTGATATTTCTTAAAGTCAGTTCAAAGATTATAAGCGGAGATGCATGGTGACTAGCAGTCAACGAAACGCGTTTCAAACTAAATTCCGCTGCTAACCATCATTCATCTCTGTTTATAGTACTTGTAACTTAAACCAATATTGAGGCAATCCGTTCAAGATGCATATATGTCAATAAGAGACTGGTCAATTGGAGTCTTAAACATCAATCAGAACATTCAAACAAACAATAGAAAAATTAATGAATTCAAAGATGAATTCACTTAGTATTGTTTGCTTGAATCTTCCCATTAATGTTTAGGATTGTAACTGGTCAGTCTCTTATTGGCCATATGTGCATACTGTGCGTATTGCCTCGATATTGCCTTAATTCACAAGCATTGTAAGCAAAGATGGATAGTGGCTAGCAGTAGAATGCAGTTTGATGCGCGTGTCGTCCTATTTGGGACTCGTTAGCAGGATGTATCTGCATCTGAGAGTTGACATTCACTCTGTGACTCGAATCCAACTGAGTGGATAACGCGATGATGTTTGAAGCGAAAGGTACTGGGTTCGAGTCTCAGAGTGAACATCAACTCTGAAATACAGGTACATCCAGCTGACGAGTCCCAAATAGGACGAAACGCGCATTCTATATTCCACTGCCAGCCACTATCAATCTTTGCTTAAATTCAAAGATGTTTTAAGATGGTTCATCGAAAACATTATATTCTAATAATTATTACCTAATTCTTTTAGTTTCATGATTCTATATCTTTTAAAGGATTTAAACTTGACATAATCATCCTTCAAAGTTAAAATAGTATGAATGTAATTAGTTTGTCTGATGATCTTATCGTCCGCCATACAACTATCAAAACTTAAGCTAAGCTTTTTCATTATTCGATATAAACTTGAACAGTTCATACGTAAAACACTTTGACAGTATCTTCTTCTTTAATCATTTAATTAGTTTATCTTTAACGAAAGCTGTCGAACTATCCTACTACCACTTTTTTGTTTCCTCTTATTGTTTTTTTATTTCTCCTTTATTACAAAGCCTAAACTAAAAAGTGATATAAGGTGTAACGTTGTTGTTACTGAAGAAGAAAAGATAATTGGAAATGATAATAATAATTGAAAAATCTGAGAAAAATCTGTGAAAAATCTGACAAACAATAGAATCTTTTGACATTTGGAGGTCCTATTCTCCATCATATATATATTGATGAATCTGCTTTTTGAACGCTGGATATAATCCTCCCAGCCGCTTCCTAAATTTTGGAAATACTCCTAAATCTGATCACCCAAATGCCGTGGTGCCATCGTGGGTGAGAAGAGTCAGCCTTCCAACTCGAAATGCTCTAATAAGTCCCCGCATATTCAACCACCGTCAGGAAAGTCCTACTTACTACCTTCTCGTGGTGGGGGTGTTGTTTAGGAAGTTGAGAGGATGACGGATGATCCACCTAGAGGAATTGGAAAACCCTGATTCTATGTCAATAGTGTACATAGGTTCCATAATTCTGAGGGAAAAACTGGTTTATGAACCTATTGTTGGTCATCAGCTACCATGAGACTGTATCTCCTAACGTTCCTCTACTGCCTTGTGGATTTAGCCTTCAGGTCAAAGGCTTGGAATGTGGCTCTCTGTGAGAATCACCTGCTTCAGTTTGTGCAGCCGGATAGTATCATATCCCACACACAAATCAAATGATATATATGGCGCATATCTATTTGGTGCCCCTTTTTACCAATATTTATGTGTCCAGATAAATAAATACCTAAATCTCAGCTCCCAATAGTAATGAAAACAATAGAATTAAATACTGTATATAAAGGTTAATTTATGCACATAAGATTATGTGTGATCCTAACATTTCTAAAGACTTCCGAAAATACATCAAATTCAATAAGAAAAATGGTAATTACTCAATCTAATTGCAATGCATGACCCTTCATCGTTCTACCTGTTTTTGGGACATTTCTATTCAGCTTCTAGAGATGATATCGTGGAATTCTCGAGGACTCGCACCATACGTTAGTTTTAATGTTGACAACAACAAAAATCAAATAAACAAGTAATTATAATAGTAAACTAACTTTTCACTGTTTTTAAATGATAACTGCTCTAACTTTAATTCTTGTACATCATTGAAATGATCTTGTTCAGCGGTTGATAAAGTTAATTTACCAAATTCCCAATCCTCACCAGTATTCTGACATATAGTTCCATAGTAAATAATCTAAAAATTGAACAATAAGAGTTTCTTTTCAATATACCAAAAAATGTTGCAATAACGGTATAGTTTGACCAGACATTTTATTTGAGCACAGAATCTATAAGTGAAATACTGAAGAATTAGAAGAAAACTGATTGGTACTTCTCCAACATTTTAATAGATTTCAACCCAAGTTACCTATAATCTTCAATAAAGATCTACTAAGTATACTCATTTAAACAAATCTTAATGAGATATTTATGCTGTCTTAACAGTAAACCGTTAATTTTTCTAACTGTGAACTTAGTAAACCATTAGTTATGTAATGATTATTTATTTATTTAAACACATAAATATTGGTACAAGGAAGCACCAAATACATATGCGTCGCACAAATCTCATTTAATTTGTGTGAGGGGTGTGACACTGTTGAGGTGCTCAAACTGAAGCAGGTGGTTTTCTTAGGGAACCACATCCGGAGCCTTTGACCTAAAGATTTGATCCACAAGGCAGTGGAGAATCGTGAGGAGATACAGTCCCATGGTAGCCGATGACCAACAATTGATTTATACGCCATTTGTTCCTTCGGGATACTGGAGCCCATGTGCACTATGGGTTTCGAATAAAGGTATTCCAACTCCCCCAGATGGACTTTCCGTGTTCAACAACCCGGTAAAAGCGCCGGATATTCGCTTTCGTCCTCTCAATTTGTTAAACAACACCCCCGCGACGAGAAGGCAGTGAATGAGACTTTCCTGGCAGAGGCTATATACGCGTGGCCATGTGAGAGCATTTGGAGAGGGAGAGCGGACTTTCCTCACTCTCGGCCGTACCAGGGCATTTGGGGGCTCTATAATGATTACAAATTTTAGAAGAGAATATCTTTTTCAACTTCTTATAAATCTGCTAATTAAACAATGATGACATGATAAAATGAATCAAGTTTTCATTGATATCATGAATGGATCAATGTTAGACCACCGTTGAAAATTTAAAAGAAGTGGACGACTGTTTCGCCATAGTATGAAACCCATGAGCAGTGAGTATACACGATCCCTTACCAAGGGGAATCGAACCCAAGACCTTTGATCTCGCGCAAGCAGATTTAACCTTTATATTGTAATTCAATCTTGTTTGTTGTGAGGCAGTTTCCTACTAAAGACAATGGTGGACGGTCGCGCAATATTGTGAATTGGTTGAAGTTTAACATGAACAACATTGGATGCCGATCCAGTGGTTTAGAGTTTAGGCTGCCGTGTGCGAAATCAAAGGTCTTTGGTTCGATTACCTTTGGTACAGGATTGTGAGTGTGCACTGCTGAGGAGCGGAACAGCCATCCAGTACTTCAAGGCTCTCAATGGTGATCTAACATTAATCCATTCATGATATCAATTTAAACTCAACAACTTCCACAACCCTATACTGAATCAGTTTTTATGAAAATTCGATTAGATTTTCAATGTTATCTTTTTAGAAATAATTACTGAACTTATCAATTTTTCTGGTGAATTAAATTTTCTGCTGTTATTTCTGATGTATATATTGACTTTTCCATTTAGTTACACTTCATTTATTGGAAAAATATAAGATTAAATATTGACCAAGTTTATACTGATTTTCAAATCATTTAAATCCTTATGTTTATTAATCATAAAATATTAATGTAATCTATTGTATATCATGGAAGCATCATTGATAAACAAGGTACATCTGATGCAGATATATAGGCGAGGATTGGTAAAGCAAGGTAAGCATTTCTACAATTGAAGAACATATAGAACTTAAAACAACTCTTAACCAAAATCAAAGTGAGAATCTTCAATACGAACGTCAAAACAGTCCTAATGTATGGAGCTGAAACGTGGAGAACTAATACATCCATCATCAGGAAGGTACAAGTATTTATAAACAATTGTCTACGCTAAATACTCAACATCCATTGACCGGATACTATCAACAACAGCCTACTTTGGGAGAGGACAAACCAGCTTCAAGCTGAAGAGGAAATTAGATGTTGGAAGTGGATAGGACACACATTAAAAAAATCACCAAACTGCATCACGAGGCAATCCTTAACTTGGAATCCAGAAGGGAAGCGGAAAAGAGGAAGGCCAAAGAACACGTTACGTCTGGAAATAGAAGCATATATGAAAAGGATGAATAACAACTGGAAAGAACTGGAAAGGACAGCACAGAACAGAGTTGGATGGAGAATGTTGGTGTGCGGTCCATGCTCCTCCATGAGGGTAACAGGCGTAAGTAAGTATTGTTTATCATATTTTCACTTCATTACATTTTGTGTTGTGTTTTTTTTATTTTTCAACGGGTTTCTACTAAAATATCATCTTTATTATTACAATTTTGAGATGGTGGAGAAGATTTGTAGCTCAGGTGGATGATTTTGATTAAGTTTCGTTCTCTGAGATGGATGATTTGGTCATGGAGCTTTCATCCTACTTCTTCCAACTCAGAGAACAAAACTCCATCAAAATTATGATATTTATTTAAAATAAACTGATTAAGTGACTTTTAATAGAAGAAGCTCAAGATTCTTCTTTCACATTGTTTGCTCATTCGATTATAGATCTCTAGGGGAAAATTTCTTGTTGTTTCTTTTCTTTTTCTACTTGACTTATTGTCAAAGTAATTACTTAAGAAACTTTGTTTGTCTTTTAATGAACTAGAAGTGATTTTTTTTCCGTGCTTTCTCTCTATCGAATTCTTGTTGTTTTCTTCTTTCTATTAGTAACCTGGACATTACTAGTTGTCTGATGATTGTTTTTTTTTATATAAGGTGGTATAAATTTTCAATATTTACAGACTAATAACATTTTGTCCCCTCCCCCCCCCCTACCGTTTCTTGTTCTTTGTGTATTCTTATTCACTACCTCCATCAACAGTATAACTACGTTATTGATCATTCTTATCATCAATATCATTAATGTAATTTATTATTATCTTTGAGTGAACCCCCCCCTTTTTTTAGTTCAGTTACTGTTCAAAATCTAATATTCCCAAGGGGGTGTAAAAACATTTTTTAATTTTTTCAAAGCCAATTCAGTGTAAAGAAGAAAAAAATTGTTCACCTCAAGGCAAACAAACCAGAACTCGTCTTATAAATGGTAGTTTGTCTATTTTTTGATAAGCTCATTCTTTCTATTCTCATTCCACTTTATTCTTTCATTCAAAATGATTAAATGACTCATATATCTATCTATATACAGAAAATATTCATTTAAAGGAATTTATCCAGTTTATTTGATTATTGAATGTGTTTTTTTCACCTTAACACTTGAACACTTGAATATTCAATGTTTCAATAGTTTATAGTTTACCATAATTAAATTGATGAAAATGGTTGTTTAACCTTAAATTTGAAAACGTTTGCTTAGTGAAATTTACTCAATATTATGATAAATTATCAGAAAGGGTTTTATAGAGATTTTAGTATTTTCAATAGTTGAAAGCATGAGTCAATTGAAGCTAGACAACCATGGAAAACCTGGAAGCAGTGGACGGCCGTTTCGTCATATGGTGGGACTCATCAGCAATGCGCATCCATGACCTCGCCTCTCGAGACTCGAACGCTTAGCTTCTAGACCACTTAGCTGGCTGGTATCCAACGGTGTTAATGTTAAACTTCAACAGATTCACGAAATTGAGCAACCGTTCAGTGGCGTTCAACCACATCTGTTGTGAGATATCAACTTACTAAAGACAATTGGTGAACGGTTACTCAATTTCGTGGATTGGTTGAAGTTAAACATTAACACCGTTGGATGCCGGCCGGCTCAGTGGTCTATCGGTTAAATGCTTTGGCGCGATATTAGTAGGTCCTGGGTTCAAATCTCGCGAGTGCGGGATCGCGGATGCGCACTTCCACTGAGGAGTCCCACAATAGGTCGAAACGGCAATCTAGTGCTTCCAGGTTCTCCATGGTGGTCTAGCTTCAATTGACTCATGCTTTCAACTATTGAAAATATTATGATAAATATTGAATAAGTGACAGAAATCTATGCTAAATTGCTTCAAATAATTAATCACTAAAAGATTTGGTTTCAAATTTTTTTTTGGGGGGTGTGAAGATGATTCTAAGTATTAGTCATTGATGAGAATAAGTTCTATTGAAGTTTAACATTATGTCTTGTCAGTATAGGGTTGTGAAGGTTATTAAGTTTTTGATAGAGTTCATGAATCGATTCCAGTTAGACCACCATCAGAAACGTGGAAGCACTGGACGGCTGTTTAGTCCTATTATGGGACTACTCAGCAGGAAACCTCCACGATTCCGCTCACAGGATTCGAATCCACAACCTTTGGTCTCGCACGCCCAAGAATCTCGGAAAGAATAAATTCAAGAAATTATATTGTCCGATTTTAAAATATTGTGCAACAAATTTAACTTAATTTCTTAACACAAAATTTAAGTATATTTACATTTTGAACAACTACGGATTTCTTGAAAATAATTTAAGACATTTATGTCACAAACTGAGATTATCTACACAACCACTATAAACGAGTTAGGACTGAAAATATAGCTCATTCTAGTTAAGAACTCTTCGATAGTATACAATCACTGTCCGATTAAATATCTCACTCAAGAGCATTAGTTTTCTCAAGAAGTTAGGCATCTTTAGACTAATGAGTTGTCATTTACTAGTTCACGTTTTCAACCTTAATTTATATAAGTTTATTGATTGTTTCATGCTAGATTGTTTCGAAAGAATTAATGGCAAATTCCGATTTTCGATATTAATATAAATTTATTCATGAATTTGAATCGTATAATTGCCAATTTAAATGTATGAGCATCATGATACTATCTGTCAAGTGGCGAGATGTTTCTTTTATTATAAGTTTCCATTTGACATATTTATTACTATTATACGATTTACTTTTCTTAACTTATTCCCAATTTACTAGTTACAGTTTCTTACACTCACAGCCAATTTCTGCTTCATCTTGTATAATTGTTATTTTCTAATTTATAGTATGACGCAGTCAGGTTTGTTTGTATATAAACCAAGTATATCTGAAATACAGGATACATATAAGAAGGCTAATATTGGTGTTTTGGACTGAACTAACTGGGTTAGGCGGGAAGCTACTATTTCGGAGGTCTAATAGGAACTCAGAGTTGACTCCAGGTTGCTCGTACCGGTTAACGCGTCATTGGTTTGGCACAGTGCCAAAGTCGTATAGGTCGATTTTCTGATTGGCGATTTAGTCACGTGAAATTTGACGGGGCTTGGAACATAAAACTAGACAGTTGTGGTAGAATCTGAATGAAATTAATTATTCATAATTATAAATATTAGGGAGGGGGTAGAAAACTCAAACCAAAATGTGATGATTAACAATAATGAATACTATTCAGAAGTCTTACACACTTAAATTTCAATAAAATCGACAACATTCAAATCTCATAATTAAGCACACTTGAAGGATAAGTCTACCACATATCACTACGTTAAGACTAAAAGTTTAACAGTTGAATTCATGAGTCGATCTAAGCTACACCACCATTAAAAACCAAGATGTACTGGACAGTCATTTCGTACTAATATGGGATAATTTAGAGAAATAAACAATCAAACTATTTCGATAAAATTTAAAAACATCATTGAAGTAAAAACTCGCGGAAAATAGCATTAATTTACTTTTAATGTTGCTGTTGAACTTGAAAGTCTTATATCATAGCTAGGAGTCCATGAAACATGATCAACTGTATACGTTATTTCTAAATCTGGATTCAAAGATGAATGTGCTTCTAAAAGTACATGAAGTTCTCTGATAAATATTACAAAAAAAAAGTTAATTAATTGAAGAAAACAGTACGAAGATCACATCATAAATGGGATAAAAATATTCACATTCATGTAATAAATAAGATATAGAATTGGAAGCAAAGATGGATAGTAGCTGGCAGTGGAATCCAGTTTGACGCGCGTTTCGTCTTATTTGGGACTGGTGAGTTGGATGTAGCTGCATCTCGGAATTGATGTTCACTCTCAGACTCGAATCTAGCACCGTTCGCTTCAAACGTCATCGCGTTATCCACTCAGCTACTGAGTCCTGATAGCCACTTGCTTGTGCAATGGGGTGAAGTTTAAATTCACTTAATATTGTTTCTTTGAATCTTCCCATTGATGTTTAGGACTGCAATGCTTGTGAATTAAGGCTATATCGAGGCAATACGTACAGTATGCGCATATGCCAATTAAAGACTGATCAATTGCAGTCCTAAACATCAATGGGAAGTTTCATACAAACAATTCTAAGTGAAGATAGAGAATTGTTTATAAAGCATTCAGTATGACAATATTATTATTAACGGCTTTATTCATTATTATATTTTTAGTACAATATAAAGTTCTTAGTACAAAGTAATTCAATAAGTTTCCTTTTCTGATCTTTTGACCGATCCTGACAATAAATATTGAGTGATCGTCAGTTAGGTGTTAGCAATTCATGAATCAACATTTCAATTATCTTCATTCATTTCAATGCATATTGTCAACCAACACAATGTCTTTGATTGTGTTCATTTGTAAGTTGTACAGTGAAAGGTCTTACACTTTTCATAAACTCACTTGAACAACTTATGCGATTAATAAGCATAATGATGTGTTAAAATAAACAAACGAACAAACACAGATAACTTGTTGAAATATTTATGTGGTAGGAACAGGTCGCTTATATATTCAATCAAACCGCCACTGGAAATAGATCAAATATTTTTCAATATTAACTGACCAATGTCTATAATACCTTCACTTCTCTCTTTGAATAAATTTAACGAATAGCTACGTTAAAGTGAATGTTGTAAACTTGAATTAAAAGTTTGTTTTATCCTTCACCAGTTTCATCAGTAATGTTTCAATTAACAGTCTTTCAATAAATAGATGTATTTTCACTAAACCAGTTTAAATAGCTGATTTATAGTATCACTTCACATACACTAGTAACCGTTGGATGAAAATCGGCAAGATTATTTATATACGTATACATATCATTATTAATCATATACATTAATCGAAATAACTTAAATTACAATATTATATAGTTGAGATCATGAGTCAATTGAAGCTAGACCACCATGAAAAACCTGGAAGCACTGGACGGCCGTTTCGTCCTATTATGGGACTCCTGAGCAGTGCGCCTCCACGAACCCACTCTCACGGGATTCGAACCCAGGACCTACCAGTTCCGAGCCGAAGCCCAACTTCGTGGATCAGTTAAAGTTAGACATTAACACCGTTGGATGCCAGCTCAGTGGTCTATCGGTCAAGGGCTTCGGCTCGGAACTGGTAGGTCCTGGGTTCGAATCCCGTGAGAGTGGGTTCGTGGAGGCGCACTGCTGAGGAGTCCCATAATGGGACGAAACGGCCTTCCAGTGCTTCCAGGTTTTCGATGGTGATCTAGCTTCAATTGACTCATGATTTCAACTTTGAAAAATACTGAAATCTCCACAAATCCCCTTCTATTTTTTATTTATCAACTTACTTAGAAACTAAATGATTTCGACATAATTCAATTTCATCAAGTTGTTCAATTAATTGATTCATTGTAATTTTACATTGTTCTAATTCTTCACTAACATTAATTGTATCTTCATCTAATTGTTGTGATTGTACTGTATAAAGTGTAAAAAAATTACGCATTGCTTCTACTTGATTAAGTTGTATTATTTCATTTTGAATAATCATATTAGAATTGGACTAGAATATAACAAAAGAAAAATAAATAAACAATAATTTTCAATGTTCAATGGTTGTTGAATAGTAACCATCATTGGAAAAAAAGATCTTACAAAATAATTTATTTGCTACTAATTATAGAAGCTTAATTGGTTTTAAAGAAACTTTATAATTTAGATAAGGATTCAGTAGCTGAATGGTTAATGTGATAGCAATTGAAGCAAAATGTACTGGGTTCGAGTCTTAGAGTGATCATCAACTTTGAGATGCAGGTACATTCAGCTGACGAGTCTCAAATAGGACGAAACGCGCGTCAAACTGGATTCCACTACTAGCCACTATCCGTCTTTGCTTATAATGCTTATGAATCAAGGCTATATCGAAGCAATACTCACAGTACGTACATATGCCAATAAAGGACTGATTAGTTGTAGTGCTAAACATCAATAGGAAGATTCAAACAAACCATACTAAGTAAATTCAATGTTAACATTGTTTACTTTAATAAGGAAGGTGATAAATCTTTTCACCAAGCTTCTTTTTCATCGAGTCGGTGAGTATATGAATGTAGGACAAAAGTTTAAATTGAATTATTTAAAGCTCATTTTACATTTGATCAGTCAAATTAAAAAACACAAGGGTCTTTTAAATGAACTGATATAAAATATTAAATTATATAAAAAACTAATCAGTGATACATAATTGTTCCGTTTGGTTGTTTAGGTCTTTTCAACTGTATGGTTTGAATTATTTCTTCTGGTTAGCGTTCCTTTTTAGCGAGTTCGTTTATCTACTGGATGGGGTCACTAACCCCATGCTCAACCCTCCTCCTTTACCCAGGCTTGGGACCGGCAGTAACTCTAGAATAGCTAAAGGCGGAGTTTTTTTCAACTGTATACCACTGACAATTTCATACAGAATTGAATCTAGAAATCTTAATTATTTCACACCAATCACAGTCTATTTGAATTACTTAATTGAAATCTATCATGTAAATTTTCAACGTCAATCAATTCTTGTTCTGAGTACTTCGTGAGCTAGAATCTGTCTCTATTTGTGATATTATCATAATGATACTTTAAGAAACTGTGATGTTTGTATGAACTAATGATTCTTTTGTGTTCGATTTATGCCTGATTTCAAATTTCAAATTCAATGCGTACATTTATCCTCACCTACTTCTCTTCGATATAAATTGAGCTTTTACGGGGATTCCTAGTTCGTACAACAATTCAAATTCTTCTAATCGTAACAAAAACCCATTTAGAATCTAGTCGTTGATTATAATTGGTAATATTCATTTAATCGACTGTTGTGAGGGAGACATGTATACTTGGAAGATATTTTCATCCAGAACTGCCTAGTGTACTTTAGTTTCCGATTGTTCTTCAGTTGACATTAATCCATAATGATAACTGATGTTAAAGTATGCAAAATATTCACAAAACATTTAAGTTAACAGCAGATAGTAAAGTGAATGTGGTTTTCTTCCAGGTTTTGTTTTGATTAAGAATAGTTGTAAATTGATGTATTATTGCTTAAAGAACTTAACTTTCAGTCATCTGATAGAATTTTTGAACTTTATTCTGTCTACTTCACTCTCATTAGTAATACTGAGCAAATAAACTTTACCGTTCCATTAAGATAGTTAAGATAGTGGATGCACACTGCTGAGGAGTCCCATAATAAGACAAAACGGCCATCCAGTGCTTCCAAGTTTTTGATGGTGGTCTAGCTTCAATTGACTCATGATTTCAACTTTGAAGAATACTGAAATCTTCACAAATCCCCTTCAGATAGTTAATTGTAAATATCAGGGACAGCAAATGCTGAACATTATTCTACATAAATGACTATAAGAGCATCGTTTATGAACAACTAGAAAAAATAAATTCCTTCAATAAATTAATCATACGGATAAAAATGTATGATAAGAAGAAGATGATGAAACAAAAGACTCTTCAATTCGTTGAATCTAATAACAAGATGCTCATTGATATATACATTGATATACAATACATCCATACGACCTAGAATTTGTGCATATTAACACTATTGATAGTAACTAATACAAACTGTATCTTCTTGATTCTACTTTTAACCATCAGGGACAGCAAATAGTGAACATTATTCTATATGACTTACTATGAGAGCATCGTTTATGAACAACTAGAAAAAATAAATTCCTTCAATAAATTAATCACACGGATAAAGTTGTATGATAAGATGATGAAACAAAGGACTCTTCAATTCATTGAATCCAATAACAAGATAATAACTTGGCCTACCTTACTCATTGATGTATACATTGATCGACAATACATCAATACGACCTAGAATTTGTGCATATTACCATAATTGATAGTAACTAATACAAACTGTATCTTCTTGATTCTACTTTTTGACCATTTTCATTATAATATCATTCGTAATATTAGCTTACTTGCAAATTAAAAGACTATTATAATGTAACAGCTTACATTTTTCTCTTTGACATTACAATCTTTAATCATATTTTTCATACGTGTTAATGAACGTGTACGATGTGATTTCATGGTACTATTCGATTTGTTTTGATGAAGTTGACGAACTTTGTGCTGTTGTTGTTGTTGTTGATGATGATGATGTTGTTGATGGCGTCTTGACATTAGATAATCACTATTATTATAATTATTAGGCAACTTCATTCCATTCATACTACTTATAGTAGTCATATTATTATAAGTAGTATAATCATTGAAATGGTTAAGATAATCTAATTTATCAACATCATCATTATCATAATCATCATGATTATTATCATGATCCTTTATTTCATTACTTACATTGCATAATAAATTATTTGAAAAATGTTCCAGAACATTCTGTTGTTTAAATAATCTTTGATAACGATTGGTTAAATAATGATAACGTCGTTTCTCTTTACGTAATTGTATTAATAAACAATTATAACGTTCAAATAATTTATTATCATCATCATTTAATTGATTTATATGAAATCGTACATCTTGTATATAAGCTAATTGTGATCCTTCATCTAGTAGGAAAGATGTCGGAGGTATCGCTGTTGTTGTTGTTGTTGCTGATTCATTTAAACAAATATTATTTGAATGTTCAATTGGTTTATATTGATTTCTGTGATTGCTAATTTCAACACTTTAAAAAACAATAAGAATGATAATAATTGAAAAATGGGTTATTTTTAATACATATTTAGTTAATGAATGATGAGTTTTATTTATAAAAACAAAATGGAAATATGATAGAAGAGAAGAATATGGATTGCTTTTTTTTATATAGTTGAGATCATGAGTCAATCGAAGCTAAAACATCATGAAAAATTTGGAAGCACTGGACGGCCATTTCAACTTATTATGCGAGTCGGGATCGTTGATGCGCACTGCCACTGAGGAGTTCAACAATAGGACGATTTGGCAGTCCAGTGCTTTCAGGTTTTCCATGGTGATCTAGCTTCAATTGACTCATGATTTCAACCATATTAATTCTTTCTCTATGTTTTGATAAACAATATGCTTATAGTATTTAGTCCAGTAATTTGTTTATAAATAATAATATTGTTTACTTTTATAGTTTACACTACGAAATCGCTTTAGTTAAATAATCATTGAAGATCAATAAGTATTGGACAATTTTCTCATCCCAGTAAGGAACTACTTGACAGTACATATCCACGAATCTGTCAAAGATCGAATCTAGGACATTCAAGCCACACGTTAACAGAATGACTTTTCGACCACTGAGCTATCATCCATTGATTTGCTTGTCTAAATATGATTGATTCGCAATATTACTCAATCATCTTTTAGTGTCACTGTTTGGTAACTCAAATCTATCATTATTGCACTCTATTGTTCATGGCTTCTCGATAAAAATTGATCAAGTGTCCCATTTGAAACAAAAAGTTCCATTTAAATCTATTATCTTAGATTAACTATGATATCGATAAGTTATATGGATTTACTTCACAAAAAATATGAACCAGGAATTGTTATACTATGAGGTCTCAGAACATGATGGTTAAACAAACAAGATCATTCGACTGTTAAATAACCTTTCTACTTCTCAAAATGATTCATGTGAGCTAAACTAGTGATTCATTATTACTATTGCTGGGATTATAGACCTGCACAGTTTAGAAAGGTGACTGATGAAATGGAACAAAGAAAGACTTTTCTTCCCTTTTCTTTGATCTCACAAAAAATATAAACAGTTTTATTTTATGAACAGTTAAATCTACTAGTGCTAAGTATTTTCTTTTCATCTCACATTAGCCATTCAGGATTGTAAACCTAGGTTCAACTTGACATAATGACGAATATAATCTACTAAATAGTTAGTAAGCATTATAGCTACGTTTTTTGTTATATTTTCGACGTGTTTTACGTTAGATGTTGCAAATGAACTTTTTAGCGCATGAAATGAATTCAGAATATAAATAAATTCAAAATATTTGTTACTGTTTAATTTATGTGCTTCTTCATTGTCCGTAGTATTGTTATTTCCCTTTATATATACTACCCTATATTGTCTGAATCAGAACACTGAGCCGGTATGCGAGACTGATATGTCCTGGGTTCGAATCTTGCGAGGCGGGATCGTGGATGAGGGGTTCCACAATAGGACGAGACGGATGTCCACTACTTCCAGGTTTTCCATGGTGGTCTAGCTGCAATTACCAAAATCTTCAGAAAACCCCTTCTGAATCAGAACACACAATTTTTATTTTCCATTGTTTCAGGTTATAATTTGTTCAATAACAATTTTCTTCTTAATAAACAATATATATAAAGATTGATAATATATGTGAAAGACTCAAGTGATTATTTGAACCAAAGTGTAATTGAATTTTGTTATGAACTACCTTATTAGTTGGTAATTGATGGCATCATTAAGTTGAAAATAGTACTATTTCTCTCTCTCCCTCTCTCCCCCTTTCATTCTCTTCCCCTTTTTATTTCAGCTTACTTCGCCCTTTCACCATGCATCTTCCTCTCTCATATAGTACTTAACTTAAGTGTATCTTTCAAGTGGAATAATCACTTCTTACATTGATTTCTGGGTATAGTTTCATTTCTATGCAGAAAGAACCGATTTATTTATATATTCATGAATAATAATAATAATAATAAATAAATAAAACTAACTGCCAGTATTACATAGTGAAGAGGGAAAAAACGATTACGTAATACATAAATACACAAAATAATGAATAAACAATCTTAATTGAATCCTTTTTTATGTTTGATGAATGAAAATTAAGTTGACAATTGGTGTAAGCAAACATTATTCTTTTTTCTACCCTTAATATAATTTTGTATTAAGTTAAAGTATATTAATTTCCTTTTCTTTTTCATAGCAGAAATCATGAGTTAATTGAAGCTAGATCACCATGGAAAACCTGAAAGAACTGGACAGCCCTTTTGTCTCATTATGGGACTCCTCAACAGTGTGCATCCACAATCCCGCCTCGGCTCGCGAGATTCGAACCTAGGACCAACTAGTCTCGCGCCAGAGCACATAACCGATAGACCAATTAGTCGGCCGGAATCCAACGGTGTTAATGTATAACTTCAACCAATCCACGAAGTCTGAGCAACCGTTCACCAATTGTCTTCAGTGAGTTGATATCTCTACAACAGACGTGGTTGTTGTTTTTGAATGTATACTTCATCAATTATAAATAATTTATCCAAGTTTTTTTAAAATTTGACTATTTCAATTTGCTAATTGTAGTGATTTGTAACATAAAAAGGAATTATCAGTAAAGGGTTATGAAGATTTTTGAGATTGGATTGATACAATGAATAGATCAATGTTAGATTACCATTGAAAATCATGAAGCTCAAAAAATCTCCCCAAAACCTCTTACTGATAATTATCATTTTCTCACTAGTGACTGGTATCAAAATAGATATTCTGAAGTTTTAGTGAGAAATCGTGACCAGTGGAGTTCAACTATATCATTTGTGTGACAGTTACTCACTAAAGACAATGGAGAACAGTCACGTAATATCGTGGATTGGTTGAAGTTAAACAATAACACTACTCGATGCCGTCTCAGTGGTCTAGAGTTTAAGCGATCGCGCGCGAAACATAAGTTCCTGAGTCTGGATCCTATGTGCGATGTCGTGCATACGCATTACTGAGAAGTTCTGTTACTAGGACGAAAGAAAATTTATCGAGTTTATGTGTACTCGACCAGTTATCTTGATTTATATATATATCATGATTAATAGTTAACGAATGGTTCAACTGAATCTACAAAATTAAATTAAACTGATCAAGCGTTATGAATATGACGTTTAGATATGAAAACACATCCATCAGATTGAATAGATAATGATGAATGTATGAAGATTTTTTTAATCAAAACTATGACATCATCATGAAAAAGTTGTTCACTTAAATGATTTTTAAATATATGAAAAGAATTTTATAAACCCAAAATCTAAGTAATAAAGAAATTATGTCTGGAATCTTTGCAGAAATCATGTTCTTCATAAGATCCAAGCTCATATTATTCAGTGTCACAGATAGACTGTTATCAGAAAACTATTGATATTTCACTGACAAAGTTGGAATTCCGGTTGTTAATAAAACTGGTTGTTAATTAAAGAGGATAAATTTAGTTGTACATACTTATCTATTTATTTGAGCACATAAATATTGGTACGAGGAAGCACCGAATACATATGCTCCACACAAGTTACTTAATTTGTGTGTGGGCTGTAATACTGTCTGGGTGCTCAAACCGAAGCGTGTGGTTATCTAAAGGAACCACACACGGAGCTTTCGACTTAAAGGTCTAACCCACAAGGCAGAGGAGCAGCGTCAGAGGATCCAGTTCCATAGTGGTCAGTGACCAACAATACGTTCATGTGACATTTGTTCCTTCAGGATCCTGGAGCCCATGTTCACCTTTGGTTTCAAATCAGGGTTTTCCAACTCCCTTAAATGGAACCTTCATTGCCACCTACCCAGTTAAGGCGCTGGACATTCGTTTTTAGTCTTCTTGATTTCGTAAGTAACAAGTTTTACTCACTGAGTATAGTTATATTCCATAATTATTTCAAAAAATTAGTAGAGTATAGTAATGAAGAGTATGCATTTATTAAGTAACTAATTAGTTTTGACATTTTATGGATTAACTTCACATTTGTTCTTTACATTCCATAAATTAATTTTACTAATGAAAGTTTATGTATCATATATAGTTCCATTTAACGTTTCTTTCTAACTAATATATAATATCATATTCTGTTGAATCATCATACGCAAAACACTGAAACAGATGGTTTTTATTCTCCTCTGTTCTTTTTATTAGTCAACTACCTTTCTGAAAGATTTGCTGGCTTATTTATTTACCTATAGTTTGAATATTATCTAAACATATTTAACCTCTGGTTAATTTTAATACCTGAATCAATTTTTCCAGAAATCACAATAAAAAATTAACTGATTTGTAATGATGATTGAGTGAAATATGATAATGATGTCGCAGAGGAAACTAATGGAATCGCCCTAGTTGATATGAGTCAGTTTGATGTAGTTGAATATAAATAGTGATGTTTACACTGGGACTCCAATCTCGTATTCATTGTTACAAATTTCAGCACCTCATCCATTAAACTATTTCATCACGATTACCACCTATTTTAAATCAATTAATTCGTTATTCATTATGATTTATCTGTGTCTGCATTTTAGCATTGTTTCCTTCCAGAATTGAACTTAATTGGTCTCTGATGGTATGAAATACAATACTAAATATATTAACTTTACATGTTAATACCGACACTACCAAAGAATCCATTCAGCAAAATAATTTTACCAGTACAGACTGACTAAATGCAGTTCTACATTTCAATAATGCAGGCATCCAAACATTTAGATATAATTTTGAGTAGCCGTACTACTGCTCACCAAAAAAGTACAAGTATTTATAAATAATTATCTACACAAGATACTCAACGTCCGTTGACCGGATACCGTCAGCAACAGCCTACTGTGGGAAAGAATAAACCAGCTTCCAGCTCAAAAGGAAATTAAGAAATCATCAAACTGTATAACGAGGCAAGCACTAACTTGGAATCCTGAAGGTAAACTGAAAAGAGAAAGGTCAAAAAGCACACTGG